ATTTTTCAACAATTCATGATATTTCACCCGTATATGATGAATATTCACCCATAGATGATGGAAATTCATCAAAATGACATTTTTTTCAAATAGAAATTTCAAAGAATGAACAAGTCATCGAACAGAATTTTATATCTTGAGAAAGAATTCGAAGTTTTTTACCGAATATACTACCAGGACTTCTTTTTTTTTGAGAGTACTCGATGACCTATCGCCATTTTAATAGCTAAAAGGTTCGTTCAAGTGTCATGGGATAGAGGATGAATAAATAGGAGGTTTATTAAGCGTAAAGTTTTGGATAGCTATCTCAGGGGAGTCGGTAGAAGGATTTTCATTTTTGGTTTTTCGGATGAGTCATGCATAAATCACGTGTCAGTAGGAAATTTTTTTTCTATTTTTGATAATATGATTTCTGTAATGTTCGAGGGTTTTTGTCGTATTTTAAACATATATGAATTGCGTGGTTGATGTTCAGAATTTGACACGTGATCCTTTCGGTGATTATCATCTAATGTATATGAATTTTCCTTAGGATTTGATGGCTATAGAATTAGTCAGCGTTTAGTTGAGTTTCAAATTAGAATATTTTGCATCAGTTAATGCTCTGTGAGGTTATTTTCCATGTATGGGATGATTGCTATGTATATATTCTAGTATCTATATTGGTTGACATGTCGTAGAATAGGCGATGTTTGAAACTTCCAATGATTGTTTCATGTAATGATAGTTTACTCTTGGTTTTCGATTATATATCTTTCAGTGTCACTTGATGTTTGAATATGTGATATGTTAGAATAACTAGTTTTTATCTTATTTAAATGATATGAAAATTTTTCGAATTAGTTTGTTGAAAACCTTCAATTCTTTAGTTCAAGCATCATTTCGATAGATATTGCATTTAATTCTGATAAAGAATTTATTATGAAGAGAAAAGCTAGTACAAATTAATATATGATATTATCGAGGATTGTATTTCATCAATGGATATCTTTTATGTATTCATTATTTTTATTTAAATATGTTGAAAGTGATATTGATATTAGGAATATTTTTCTTTTCTTTTTGATGAGAACTCATATGGATGTGGGTTAGTATTGTTTAATTAAATCTATATCTTTCCTTGTTTGTGGAATCTATCAGAATAGATGAATTTTCGTTTTCTAATGCTGCAAAGTGATACTAGAGCTATATTTTATTGGTCTTATTTTAAAAGATATACGATTAAACTAAAATATATTGCTAAACAGAGTGGTTATTGATGATAAAAACAATTTCTCAATATATCTTCTATATCAAATGAAAACATACACTTTTACTCTTAAAGAATTCATGGAAGAATATAGTATATAGACGAAATCGACGTTAAGTTATTAAATCTAGATCAAGTGGAAGCCAATCTTAATATTTTATTCAAGATAGATCATCGAGTGATTATTTTTTTAATTTAAGAAGCTATTGTTTGACTATATATTCACTACATTCGAAGTATTTTGATTATTATTCTAACGTATGTTCATCATTTTAAATGTCTAGTGTCGATTTTCATTGTTTATATATGATTTTTAACATAATAATAAATTGATTAGTAGATTGGAAATTTAAAAGAGTTCGTTATATTTACTATACCGATTAATTCATGATTAGATATTAATAGTACTAAGAGTGGTATTGAAATAAAGCAGTATCCTATCAATAAGTATCATAGTACTTTGAAACATAAATTCACTATGTCTATCTGGGTATATTTATGTATATATTGATGAAACAAAATTTTTGCTTTCAACGGAGGGCTCCGATATTATCCTATCTGAAAACGTTGAATATAAGTCATTAAGGAATCTTAAAATTAAGACATTCTCTACAAGTAATCAAAAATCTATTTCGAAGAGGATCAATTTATTCAAATATTCAGTTCTTATTGAAATCGTGTGTCTCTCCATCTTTTTTCCTATTACTTTATATTCTACATTGATTTTAATAGTTTTCGATTTATATACTAATAGATTTTGAACAAACCTACTAGAAAATCTTGAAACATGAAAATTTGCCGTAAAATTATTTTAATCTAGGGCATTTCCAATAATAAAGCTATAAAAATACAACTCCAAGTAGAATAGTAAGCGTTATCTCCAATAGATTTGAACTTTCGCCAAAATTTAAGTTTTTCTCGTTATTACGTTTTTGTTTTGAACTTCTTCTGAATTTTTATTTGAAGGGTTTATAACTTCTATGTAATTATCAATTGAGAGCATACCTGATGAGTCCCCTAAGCAAGGACGAAACCGGTCGTGTGATGTGTTCAATTGAGAATCTCTTTAAAATCTATAGATTATGGTAGCTAGTCACACTACTATGAATTGAATTTATCATCATATATTTAAGATTTTTTCTTATATATGATAGTTTATAAATTAAATTTTTGATTTTTCTTTTAAAATCATTAAATTTATTTACCATCTGATGATTCCTTTTGCAAGGATGAAATCTATAGATTATGGTAGCTAGTCACACTCACACCCACAAGGTCAATAACAACAACAACGACGACAAAGTCGGTCAAATCGACCCCAAAATCGATCACGAAATGGTTCAAATCAACAACAACGACAACGAAGTCGATCAGGACAAAGACCACAACAGCCACAAAGGCGAAATCGTCCAAGGCAACTTCGTTTAAATGATTTTATGCCAAGAGAACTACGTGATCCTTCACCAACTACGACGTCAAATCTTCCGTCAGAATTCAATTTAGGTGCAACCACAACAACAGAAGCTGCTGCTATAACAACAGCTCCACCTGATGCATTACCTCAAACAGAACGTTTTGCAGCTACAACAACAACGGCATTTGATACAAATAATAATACACAGCCGTTTATAGTTAATCGACAACAACAACAATCTACAACTTCGTCACATCGACGCCAAACACGTCGAGGCAAGCAACAACGATATCGTTCAACTTCTAATGAGAACAACAATCGATATGCTTTACTTAGTGATGATAATGATATTGAAAATGACAATGATGTTGTTGAAATCGATGCACCTATTATAACAGCAAATCAAAATAATAAGAAAACCAAAACAACTAACAAGAAAACTCATCTATATCTAGAACCGACTCGAATGTTAAGATGGTTCGAGGATAATTCAAAAAGTTCAAAAAATTCTGCTAGTGGTCTTGGTAATCAAGCATATCTATTAGCTACAGCTCCAATTTACGATGAATGGATTCGTAATAGTTATGAATTACAAGTTTGGCAAACTTATTCAAAAATGGCTACTGAATATAAACATTGGGCTAAGGAAGTAGTTCAACGTACGAAAAGACGCGATGATACTACTAATAGTCGTTTTGTTCAAAAGAAAATGAATCAATTGATGACTGGTATAGCTCAAGCAAGTGCAAATATTTCCGATTTACAAATACAATTAGCTACCTATTGGGAATACAATGCAGCTGAAATGACAGCTCAGAAACAGGCCCAAACAACAGCTGAATTAACAACTAATTTAATAATTGAAAGAACAGGCCTTACAACAACAACAACACAAGTAAGAAGTCCTACTACAATGACAGCATCAACCATTACTAAAGTACAAAGTCTTGATCCTGTCGAACGTCTAGAAAATCATATATTAGAATATATTCATCAATGTACTTTACATGTTAAGAAAATGGCTGAAAATCGTATTCAATTAGCTAAAGCGCAAATGGCTGAATTTAAAGCTTTAGAAGATTTTGAACAAATAGCCACTCCATCTCAATGGAATATCCACTTAATGTTGAAACCTAAAGTAAAGCTTTGTTCAACTAAAAACAAAAATAAAACAATTGCAACAAAACGAGTTGAATACGATTTACCTCCAAAATTTATCAGTAAAATAGACTTAACATTCAAAATTGATGAATCTATTGTGAATAAAGATGAAATACAAGCAACATATGACGAAATGCGTAAAATTACAAAAGACTTTCGTACTCAAGCAATGAAACTATATGTTCAATCATTAGAGCGAGAATATGAATTATTATCTAATGAAATTAAACGTATTATCCAAGGTTTTCCAAGTGAAAACGATGATGGCTTTGATGCTGAAGCTGGTTGTGCAGCATTTAAACAATATCATCAATTGCGTCAAAAACGATTTGATTTAGAAGTCAAACAATCGTGTTATTTTTTAGCCGGACAGCGAGTCGAGGGCGAGCAAAACAATCCAGAACTTTTCGCCGTCCCGACTCTCATCCGATCACTGAGCGAGGATTTCTTGCTACAGCAATAATAAATCAAGCAAATATCAAGTTAACAGAGCAAGAACATCAATTATTAAGATTAGGTCCCCGATTTATAATTGATGATCCAAAAACAGCATCTCGACGAAGGACAACTGAATTGGCAACTTTGAAACGAAAAATAGAAACTCGATTCTTTGAAAAGAAAGTAAGCCCTGGTCGTCCAGTCGAACAATTCATTGCTGAATTAGATGTCTTGCTCCAAAATTTACATAATATCCCAACTACTAAGAAACGAATACAATTTAATAAAATCCAAACAAATAAATCATTTGACACTTTGTCCTCAATTATTCAATCAAGTCAATCTCAGACTATTATTCGTCCAAAAAGAAAGAAGAAAAATTATGGCCGAATAGTCAAGAGATTAAAACATAAAATTCATTTGGCTAATACTATCTTAAGAAAGACTGATAAGTCGAAGGTATTTCATTTAGGTAAAGTTGATCATTATAAGAAGAAATCAGAAGAATATATGGATAATACAAAAGCATATCAATGTCTTGGTACAATTGATCCACTTCAAGATTTAATTCAACGAACAAATAAATACTTATTAGGTTTAAGACTGGCCAAATGGATTACTCAAAAGCAATATGAGCAATTAAGTATTAAACCAAATGAAGTCGAACTAGCCCATTTGTATTATTTACCAAAAGCTCATAAACCTGGTACTCCTTTAAGACCAATTATTTCTGCTTTAAAACATCCAACAATTAAAATATCAAAATTTCTTGATAATTTACTTAGACCGTTATTCGACCAGATGGCTTCTAATTCCACTGTCACTTCTGGTTTCGAATTAGTTAAACAGCTACAACAATGGTCAAGAAATAATTTTAAACGAGATACTATATTTTGTACGATTGATGTGACCGACCTTTATACTATGATACCTCAAATAGAAGGAGTATTATCTTTAAGAAAAATGTTAGACCAGTTAAAACTGAAAGAAATTGGTAAGTTAAAAGTCGAAACAATTATTAGATTAAGTCGATTTGCTATGACTAATAATTACTTTTCTTATAATGGCCAATTTTATCATCAAGTAAGAGGAGGAGCGATGGGTTCTCCTCTTACTCTAACTATTTCCAATTGCTATATGTACTTCTTTGAAAGACAGATAGTTAATCAAATTCGAAATAGTGGTGGACTTTATTTCCGATATATTGATGATATATTTATTACTATTAATTGGCCTGTTCGACATTTACTTAAAGAAGTGGAAAGATGGAATAAATTTGATGAAAACATTAATTTATCTGCAAATATCGGTTCAACTGTCAATTTTCTAGATTTAAATATGGAAAATCAAGATGGTCAATTATTTACAACGGTTTATCAGAAGCCATCCTATGAACCATATTATTTGACCTTTAATAGTATTCATCCATTACATATGAAAAATAATATTCCATTTGCCATGCTATTACGTGCCATTAGATATTGTTCAACCTTTCAATCATATCTAAATGAAAGTGAAAAATTAAGAATGGCACTTCTGTTAAATAAATATCCAAACAAAATTATTGATGAACAATTTAATAACGTATTAAAAAAGTTTAAAATTATCCAACCTTTAACTTCTAACAATTACAATAAGATACGTCAACATATAATCGATACTCATTTCGAACAAAAATTACTATTAGAATATGAAAAACATATGTTCATCCATTTTACCTACTGTAAAAATATGAAAATGTTCCCAACAAAATTCCATACTCTATGGTCCAAGTACTTTGGTCTATCTCCAATTAATGATATTAAACCTGTTCTTGGTACTCGAAATGTCGATAATCTGCAAAGACGGTTAATATATACAAAGTCCAAAAACGACTGAAGTAAAATCAATCAATTCGTCGTTTTTCAATACCTCCTGTATGGCACATTTTATCATTTCTACAATATTAAAATAAAATTACAAAAAACATAATACTGCAAAACATTATATTCAATATTTCTCAAAAAATTCCATAATAAATAGCATCTACTTGAATCAATTGTCCAAATAATAAATCAATAAGCTATTTAAACAATGAATATGGAACTTTGTTTAATTTAACTGAAATATTTTAATACTGAATTTATTCAATTTAAATTTAATATTGAATATAAAATTCATTCAATTCATTTTGAATATTTGGTTTAATGATAAGTTTAATTCTGCCATATTAGATTATCGAATTTACTCTGAATATTAATACTTGAACTTATTTTACTATAAGAAATTAGTCTTAAATTCAACTACGAAACTAATATTAAAACTAATTTAATTATAAAATTACAAAATCAGCATTGAATTTAATCTGACTTATTTAGTTAAATTTATTAATTCTAATTTATTCAACTGAGCTTCAATCAAATTTTAATACTCTAATCGTAATATTATCATGCTATTGCTTTTGGTCTTCAGATTCATACCTTCATTTAATTTTACTATGAACCTTTTATCTCAATAATTGAATAAGTCCATTTTGAATCTAGTTTAATAATAGAATTAGTCAACCTATTCAACTAAATTATGAATTACTATGGAAATTATTCCGCTCAATTAATTAATGAATGTTTTCAATTTTTTCAATTTTTCAAATTATCGATTCAGCTATGAAAATAAATTTTGAAAAATTCAACTCGATTTGAATTTCATTTAAATAAATATTCTACTCGAATCTCAGACCAATATGATACCAATAGCTCATTGAAAAAATTTTCAAGTATTCTTCCAAAGCGATCTATTATTGTTCATTTTTACTTATTATTGTTCATTTTTACTCATTAATTATAGCCTTTCAAAAAGATTTTTAATCTAAAATTGTATTCGTTTCCCCATTGCTCTAATCGTTTTGATTCTCTAAATTTATTCGTTTTATTTTCGTTGTTTCCTTTTTTTCTAATTGTGCTTAATTTATAATGCAGAGCCCTGAAGAGTGTTTCAAGTTTTTAAATAAAATAAACATGAAACGCGTCGGCAAAATAAAATTCTGCATTTTTGTTTTAAATTCAAGCACAAATATCTTAATTATTCGACTTTGATTGATTGCTGAAAAGCAAGAGTTGAGAATAGCAGATTGATTTGTCTTCTTCGTTAAGAGATAGATTGATCTGTTTTCTAATTGATTTTTGTTCAAGAATTTAAATCAGTTAGCGGAAAAAAGTGCCAATAAAAAGAAACAAATCAGTTTTAATGAAAAAAAAACGTCCGAAATTCTCTATTAGGTTGAAAATTAATCACGATGACGATTTTATTATTATTGTTGATACAATTTGGTAACATTTTAAGATTTCATTAACAATCCGTATGATGTTTAGATTTTATTTATACATGAATATCAAATCAAAAATAAAAATCAATCTTATTTACGTTGTATAGAATTTAATTATTATGCCAGCGAGAAAAAACATTGCTGATAAAAACGAGATGATATAATTTTTATAAAAAGATACTTGAAATTCTCTTTTTTCTTTAGCAAATAATGAAACCACAGCATCTTGACGGAAATATACTCATGCATCCAGTCTTATCATTATTGAGTTAATGAAATTCGTCACATCTAATGAGCAAGCGATCGTCGAGATACATATTTTAATTTAGAATCATATCGAGCCACATGGTTCAATTGTAAGTACCTTGTTTACGAATACATAGTTTCAATGTTCTAGTCTAGATCATCGCACTCGTCAAATTTCACGTCAGTTAAATAACTTGTTCTGTACAGTGCCTCTAGGAAAGATCTGACCGTCGTCATGTGGAGATGATGGCGCCGCAGCGCGGATCTGCGAGAACAAGTTGTTTTTGTTTCCAAAATCTTTGAAACGCGTTTGCACGCGTTTCGCTTTGAGTCGCATTCAACTGCGTTTGACTTTGACTCGTGTTCAACTGCGTTTGGATTTAAGCCGCGTTCAGGTGCGTTTATTCTGTGGGCGCGTTCGAACGCATCAGATGTTTCACGACGATTTTAGATGCATCGGAACACATCGAAACATGGCGTGCATCTGGACGCGGTCAGGGTTAGATTTCAATATGATACGCGTTCGAATTTGGTTGTGTCGCGGATGCATCCAGATGCATCTACGAAACGCGTGTAGCCGGCTCGTTTGGATGCATCAGATGTTTCATTTTGGATGCGTTGGGATGCATCCTGGATAGCGTTTCAAACGCATTTAAGACGCGTATGAGAACGCGCTTTGTAGTTTAAAATTTTCACATGGGATCTAGCTGAAACTAGAATTCAATTACAATTTCATTAATATTAATTCCAAATTGATGTTGAATTTATATTTAAAACTATTAATGATATTGGATTTATTATTATTTATTATGGATTTATAACAATATATAGAATTATTCTTAATCAATCGAAATTTTGATAAATAACAAATCATTATATATTAGATCTAGGACGGTTGGATTAATTTTATATCGAATATTGTTAAAGCGATTTCATTAAACTATTGTTTACCAAAAAACGAGCTATATATTAAAATCTATTAAATGATACTTTAAATTTCAATCTACCTACTATAAATAGATTTCGTGAATAATTAAGTATGATACTACTATATATTGAATTTACTATTTGTTAAAATTACCCAAAACATGGCCTATCGACGCTATTATATATAAAAATTATTTCATTAAAATCTAGAAATTGTTGAAATTGTTGTATTAAGAATTGTTGCATGAGAAAATCAAAATCTCAGTACCAACTTTTGAATGATGAAATTAAAATGAAAAATGATATATTTAATTTGACAGACATTGAGACAAAAGTGTCATGACTCAGAATGTAATATTATGCATGATGATGGCTATAAAAAATTAATTTTAACAGTCTTATATAATTTATTATCGAAATAAAAATAGTATACATTCTGTCAAATAGATCAACAAATCGGAATACTACGCCATCAGAAAAGTGATAATATAGTCTATTGAATAATGTTCGATTTAAAAACATAAGATAATTATTTCATTTAAACTACTATTATTCTTGAATTTATGTTGAGCATTAATTTCAATTTTTGTAATTTTTGTTCTTTTCTTGTAATAGTGCTTTATTTGTGATGCAGAGCCCTGAAGAGTGTTTCATTGTATAAATAAATTAACACGAAACCCGTCGGCGAAATTAAACTCTGCATTTTTAAAAAATTATTTTGAAATACAAGCACATTTAGAATTTAATTTAAAATTTATATTCGACTAATAATCGATTGCTGAAAAAGCAAGATTTGAGACTAGCAGATTGATTTGTCTTTTCGTTAAAGGATAGGTTAATCTGTTTTCCAATTGAACAAAGTTTTTTTCTCTATTTAGTTTTGAATTTAAAATTTTGAAATTTAAATAGTTTAAAGCCACCTGAAGAGTCTTTTAGCAGAGACGAAACCGGTCATGGCAGCTCCTTCACACCCTCACCCCTCATACCCTCACACACCCTTTCAAAGTTACTACGATCTCAAGCAAATTAAATCTATATATCAAGCGTACTCCTTTCCCTTTTGATTTTTAATTGTTTCTTTTTGACTGTTTTCCTTTCGAGGCTAACTCCTTTACTGAAATACTTTATTATATCGTTCCGAAATCTAGAGAGTTGTTTAGTGGTTCTAATTTGTTCTTTATATAATTTTTATGTTTATATTATTATGTATTATTAGATTTAAAAGATACTTGATGAGTCCCTTAAGCAAGGACGAAACGTCGTGTTAAGCTGCGAATCTACAAAAGAATTTAACACACCCCACGCCCACACACTCACCCGTCCTCATAAAATAATTAAATGTAAAAGGAGCAACTCCATAATAATGCCCGAGCATAACTTCAATGGCAACTGCATCGTTTTGAAATTAAAGAAAAGGAAAGATTTCACGTTTGAATGTTGGAAAAAGCTCTAATATCTGCAATAGAAATGATTAGAGTCGAGTAGAAAGTAAAAATCAATTGCACTCAAGTAATCATCAAGGATACATTCAAATGGATGATAACTGATTTACAGATTCGGAACGATCTCAGCTAATTGAATTCAAATTCAGAAGAAAAGAATTTGGGCACATGCTCAGAAATTTTATCAATAAGAACCCTTTCTATTTATTCAAAATTGATCAAAATGCCATGGTTACAATCAGCTTTTGATGGATTTTTTAACCAAAATAATAATAATAACCATTATTTCAAGAAGAAATTGGATTAAATTCGACTAATTATAATACTATCATCTTAACCATTTTTAATAAGAAACTTAATCAAGTCAGATTTTATTTTTGCATAGGACATCAGTATACATGTTTCTGACAACTCTATTGAAGTAAGGGAACCCGCTTTTTATACGATTAATGACACGTGCACTTAGGCGAGTGAAAGGAGTCATGCATCATTGAATACATATTTGCTACTGCAAATATGTATACACGCATTAAGCTGAATGTAAATAGCATTGCATTTTTTTTTCGTCGTATAAAGAAATATTTTTGCTACTAAGGTAAGCTGATTATGTTCGAACTTTCTATAAGTAAATAATGTTTTGTTTTTTGAATTTCATCAATATCAGAAAAACGTAGAGTAAAAGAAAAACATAATTATAAGACCGCCGATGATTAATAATAATTGGCCGTTTGCGCACCATTTATCTACGATTACAGTAGTGAAAGAAAAATTAGAAGCGCTCTTCTACTAGATGGTGTACATTCTTTTTATGACAAAAAATGTCATTTTTCGTGCTGTAATGACAAGTTAATTTTTATAATTTTGTATCAGAAATTAAAAATGATCAATTTCATTCGGCTGATCAAAAATCCATTGACTGAAGATAGTAAGAGAACAAGTCGACTTGTCGTTTTGCACTGGTCGGTCGATGAACATCTTTCGACTTATTCTTCCCCTTTAGACAAGTCGATTTGCCCTCTTACTATCTTCAGTCAATGGAGGTTTGATCTGCCGAATGAAAATGATCATTTTTAATTTCTGATACAAAATTATAAAAATTAACTTGTCATTACAGCACGAAAAATGAAATTTTTATTATTATAAAAAAGATGTACGCCATCTAGTAGAGGAGCGCTTCTAATTTTTTTTTCACTTCTGTAATCTTAGATAAATGGTGCACAAACGACCAATCAATGTCGTATGCCGTGTAGGTCGTAGGCCAAAAATTCGGCCAATTATTATTACCCGACCGCCAATAAAAAAAGTACAAAAACACCAAAGAAAAAAAATTTAGTATTTTGCTTTGGCACCATTTAGCTTAATAACTTTAAAATATTCTTTCCGGCATCGATTCAACCAGAGTCCGGAGCTGATCGATATTGATTTCTTCCCAAGACTTGATAATGGAAGTTTTCAGCTGTTCTTTTGTTCTAAATTGTTTACCTTCCGCATAGACCTTCCTTGCTAGTATTCCCCAAAGATTTTCAATTAGATTTAAATCAGGCGATAATGATGGCCAAGGTAAAACATTGGTTTTTGGCGATTTAAATCAAGTGCGATTGACTTTTGCTCGATGAATTGATGTATTATCCTGCTGAAAGATCCAATCAGAGCCATCCATACAACTAGCGATATGAATGAATTGCTTTTTCAACACGTCTCGATATCCTTTTGCGTTCATTCGATCGTTCACAAAACATGTTGAATTTTTACCACCTCAACCAAACGATGCCCAAATCATAACGCTACCACCACACTGAAGACGAGTTGAAAAAAGTCTCTTCCTTTTTACGGAGATCATGCCAGTAGTAATAAAAACCATCAGGACCATCCAAATTATTTTTTTTCATCAGACCAAACAACTTTGTACCATTCATTATTCCATGTCATATGATCTTTAGCCCAAGTTAATCGTAAATCTTTGTGAACTGTTGTTAAAGCAGGAGAGCGTTTTTTTTTCATCTTTTTAAGAATGTTTGATCTTTTTATAACTCTATTGATTGTCCATCGTGACATTTTTAGGCCTAAATCGCTAATAATATTTGAACAAGGTATTGATTTGTTACTAGCAGTTCTAATAATAAGGCGTTTGCTACGTCCATCGACTGTTTTTCTTCGACCAGTTGGTTTTCTCGAGCCATAGTTAAGTGGATCTTTTAAAAAATTTGTTACCACTGTCTTCGACCGATTAATTCTCTTGGCAATTTCTCGATGGGGTATATTTTTCTTGTGCCATGCTAAAATCAACTTTCTTTCCCTTTCGGTTAGTTGTATTGCTCTGGGCATATTATAGCTTAAATGTTAGTGTTATCTCGTTTGCTAATTTTGTTCAAAGCCATGGATGATTCACTTAATATTAAAAACCAATCATGTGGTCTTATATTTATGCACCACAAAAATGGAAGTAATTCTATATATACAAGAAAATAAAATGACCCCAGCTTGAAAATTTCATAGCGGTATTCTTATGACTCATCTATGTAAAATCACTAAAAAAAACGCTCATTTTATTGAGCGAAATTTGAAAACGAGAGGTCTTATAATTATGAACCACACTGTATCTCAAATCAATCTCATATATTGTTGATTGAATCATCCTTTTCAATTCTTTACTATCAGTGATTTGACTACTGCCGATTCTTAGTTCTTCGTCGAATTTAGTATATTCTTGTCTATTAATCAATTTTAATCATTATTAACGAATTCTTTATTAGTGATGAAAAAATCTTGTTTTTTATCTGATTTTTACATCGTTTGTTTTATATGAGATGTCAATTTGGCGAATTCTCATTTAACTGTGTGATACTGAAAATAACATAGACGCAGATCTAATTTTTCGAAGCAGCTTGAAACGATAAGTTTATTTTCAATGGAGCCTTCCCAGGAGATTCGATCCGACGTCTCGGTTTGACTGATCTCTTATATTGATACTAATTAGTTATTGGCGCTGAATTAAATAAATAGTTTTCTTCGTCGGATCCGTTAATGGATTCGTTTCCAGAAATCCTATCGTATTTTATCGAATGACTGGATCCGATAAATTCCGTTATCGGATTTATTCACCTGGGCTTCTCACATAGTAGAATGAAGGTACTTTTATTAGACGACAAAATTCGTTTATAGAAATACATAATTGAAAAATGCAGTTTCTACATATTATAATCATGCTAACTGAAACAGCAGTCGGCATTCTTGTCTCTATTCTTTCCAGATTCTTTTATTTCTTGACATATCTGATTGTTTTCTTTTTTGTCGTGATGTCCACTCAAGAGTCTTTCTATCGATAGACATAAAGATAAAAAGAATCTTTCCAGAGTCGAAAAATAGATTATCATCCTTTGTTTCTTATGCCTATATAAATCTCCTGTAAGTGTTTCGTAGCTCATTTCTATAGTTGGCGTTCGGCCGTTAACATTCTTTATAAAAAAAGTGAGTTAACGCTTAAATAAACAAATTTTATTTTTTCTGAAGACTTTTAGAATCGAACCAATAAAAATTTTGTTGAAATCGCCTGGAACGTCTGTCTTTTTATTATTTTTGTGCAAATTTACACTTTTTTGTACTATTATCTCTCTGTTCATTTTTTAATTCTTGGAATTCTAGTAAAATATTTAACAATAAAATAGCGATAAACACGAAATAATCACAGATCCATACTAATTTAGAGAATAAAGTGCAAGAATCTTGCTAGATTGTCCAAGAATTTATCCTACTCTGTGATAAAGAAGAATCAGGCTTGCTTTTCAAGAATGGTAAGTTTCTATCCAGATTAGAGATTTCTTGTCAAACTATCCAAGATTCTGTCTACCGGATTCTTTTCTGATTAATAAGATCTTGTAAGTCAGACAAAAACTTTACATCAAATGTATAGGAAAATAATCTTGGCAGATTTCTAATAAAAAAAAAGAATCTGGAAAGAATTGAGACGCGAATGTCGACTTGTGAAGATTGATCTTATTGTGTTTAAATTTTGGTGGATTAACACCGACTAAAATAGATTATTTTGTTAAATTGAAGCATTATAAATAATTGATTTTTCATGATTATTGTTCGAAAAATCGTTTTTAATTGGATTTTTAAACCGTTTTTTGTTCTACGTCGGATAGACCAAAAGATAAAGAAATCGAGAAAAGTGTCGCAATACTATGATAGCTCATACGAAATGAATAAAAGAGACATCCTTTGAAAAAAGAAAGTGACTGAATGCGCACTCTCCCCATGTAATCGAAAAACGCACTTTTGATGCGTGTAGACGCGTTAATGTTGCAAATACTGATATCTAGACGCGTTTAAACGCACATAAGATAGAAAACATCTCAAAACGCACACTATCTATGAGTTTCTGAATGCGTCATGAGACACTTCAGGAGTCAATACGCGTCTTTTAATTGACATGGATCCAGACGTAACTTGGTATTAGTAATGAAACGCATATTAACGCTAACAGTTTGAACCTTGCGTCAGAATGCGTTCATTACTAGTTACAGTGTTTCACTGAACGCATTTCAACGCGACTATTTTGACCTTTAGATCCGAACGCGTTTCTATATAAGTTAAATTATTCTCTTAAGCTTACGTGACGCGTCTGGATGTGTTTTTGAATGTGTCGTGCATAAAGATAAAGTACATTGGAACACATTCCCAACTAATAAGTATTAATGGTACCATCAATAAGTAAGGCGCCTCGAAATGTATGTTATTAGATCTAGAATAGCTAACTAAAATAACCATCGCCTATTTAAAAGAGTATAGGGATACAGTCCAATGAGCTATTTAGTTGCCGTATTATAAAATCATACTCAATTTTGAGTCTTTATAATAAACGTTCTTGATCGTTTATAATTTAAAATAATGCTTCGTTAGGATAGCCTGATACACAACAAAAAAAAACTAGTTGCATCCGAGAAATCTTAGCATATCTGTGTTCATCATTCAAAGTTTTGAAATGTTAAGCAATTTGCAATGTGAAACTGAATCACAATATTTACATATTTTCAAAACTTATAGATCATTCATTCAAGAACACTATTTGAAAAATAGAGCTCTCTCTACATATATGTCAAAATAATAAAAACTGAGTCTGAAAAAAAGAAAAAGTTTGAATTAGTTTAGTTTGAATTAAAAAATATTTTTTTGCATATCGAATAAAAAAAAGACATAAGATGTCGTATTCAGTGTAGGTTTATTAATAACCGATTGATTATCGAAATGACAGTTTTCTCCTATGAATTTTTGGAAAATTAAATTTTTTTATGGAAAATTTCAGCACATAGTAGTTTATATCATGTATACAGTTTTAGTTGTTATTAACAAATGAATACTACGAAGAATATTTTCAAGTCATATGACTTTGAAATAATTGTCATGTCTTTTTCTGTCTGCAAAGTCACATGACAATCTAAGAGAGGAATAACAAGTATGTATGGCTTCGTGGTAAGTTCAATGTCTTATATTCTATGGCTAGTGTGATCGAATCTACTCTGATGCATTCTGTAAAATAACTCTCAGTCGTGTTTGCTAGAAGAGAAAATATCATGTAATAATAAAAATGGATAGATATCGATACCAGGATAGAGCAGAGTTTTTTTAATTAAAGCAACATTTGAGTATCATCTCCAAACGCATCCAGACGCGTCTAATAATCAACAGCATCATATTACACATCCTTTTTGGAACGCGCTTAAACTCCAGAAAATGTTGCATTCTGGATGCATCTGGACGCGTGAACTTATATTTCTGATAAACGCTTGAGACGCGTCGAATCCCACAAAAATGGTTACGTGGGTCACATCAGGGCTAGAAAGTGTTTCGTCTTTGCGTTTGAGTATACATTTTGCTTGTGTTCTTTATCACAACCATCTATTATATTTTATGCATTAGCCGTTACGCACGAGTTTTTCTTTTAAAAAACACGATTGTTGCAGAATGTTAAGTTTAATAGTGAGAAAGAAAGACTACAAGCCCTAATCTGAAGACAATGACAGATATATTTGGGATGATTGCAAAGCATTTGTACGATTTGGCTTCATTTTTTAGTGGTAGATAGAAGTAGACTAATTCAGTCTGAATTTCTTAATGTCATTCTTTGATAAGCATTACGCATCTTGAAGTCGTGCTTCTGTCCTTTAAACAATATCGGATTAACCTTTGAGAAAGCTTTAGAATGAAATAAAACAAATACATATAAGGGTTTTTCTATTTTGATGAAAGACTATCGAAGTTACTGCCAAAAGAAACATGCCGGGAGATTTGATCAGTACTTTTACAATTCTTCCTAAGTTTTCAAGGATTAATAGCTGAGATTTGGAGTATTATTTCAATATTTGGTAGCCTATTACTGCTAATTTTTTTAAATTAAGATATATAAAAGTAAAACAACAGGATGAGGAGTCATTAAGAGAATATTATAGATTTCTTTTAGATGGTATTTTTGTTTCTTTACTCTAAGTTTTGGTTACAGCTAAAAGAGATCTCATTTCAATTTCCCTTCTGAAGAAAATATTTCACAGCGTGGCGGAACCTTTTTTATGAAATCTATGACCAGAAATGCTTTGAGCCAGTAATTTCAAAGTAAGAACAACTTCATTAAATCAAATATCACATTTTGTAGTCTATCTTGCTGAGACATTAAGGAGCAAGAAGCGACTTTTATATGATATTCTTTAACAAAAAAGATCAACTTTATTTACCACCGGTGGGCACGATCAACTGGAAATTAAAAGTAAAAATAAACTCATTTTCATGCATAATGACGACAGTCAATCGATGGAGAACTGCTTTTAGCAGTTAAACTAGCCATACATGTGAAGAATGTTTTTTCAAAACATGATTGAATTTAATTGAGAAATCTTCGTGACAATATAAGCTTGACCATTTTTTTTCCAAATTCTACATGTGGTCTGCAAATCTCTCACTTGCGGCATTTTTTGATAACAAGACGAATCATCTATTTGTTGTTCTTTGATAATCCGAAGAACCAATAGATTAATTAAGGTTTTCATTGCATGTTAACAATGGTTAGATTGTGTTTCGTATTTAAATTATTTAATAATTTCAATGAAGGTATTCAAATCCTTCCGACTTTCTTTAATGTAGAAAAAATAAAAACCTTTGCTAGTAACTTTCTCTAATAGACGTTTTTCTAGGATACTTTGAAAGAAAAATCTTTTCAATTTGTAATTCCTACTGAAGTACAATTCAAAGCACAACCACACTACTTTAAGTGTAATGGAATCATTCTGCTTCTTCTATCATATTCTGTAAACTTGCCAAAAATCAATAGATCATAGAGTTTCAATGGCTGTGATAGGCAACTAGCATTCGAATTCGGGTCCCTCAGACAGAAGACAGAACAAGTACGCATGTTGGCAAATATTATTAAGAACCGTCATGTTCATCTCATCGAACTGTATAAATTTCAACAGAACTATAAAACAACTTGATTCTTTACCCATATCCAGCAGAAAACATGGTTGACACCATAGTACCCATTTCGGTAGACTTTATTAGCATGAGAATTGGTACATTTAGTTTTTTCCAAACTGACTTTCCAAAACATTTTGAATCATCTTTTAATTTTTGTCACTTGAAAAAGTTGATAAATAAAATCCTATAGTTATTGTGTTTTTTTGTACGATTTCCTATATGAGCGCAATGATAACAACAATTGCGCTATGTATATTAAATTGGAGAAAAAAGATATTCTGGGCCATTTTGTTCCCATCGTTCGTTTTCATCAATTTTAAATGCACATCAGTATAGAAAACCTTATCCCGCCCCTCTCCCATCTCGCAACAAAAGATCCCAAGTCTTCTATGATGTTCAACTGTAAAAACTTTTCATGAGCATCTTCTATTGCGCCTCGTTGGATTTCTCAATCTTTAATTTAAAGCTTTCTTCAGAAAGCCAAACCAATTTCACGGAATGAATAAGAAACTTTCAGCATTGTTGAAAGCTTAAATATATTATTATTGAATACAGTCAATTAATATTTTAAGCTTAAAATCCTGATGGTGTGAGTGTGCACTGAGATAATGCTATCATTCACACCTTCGTCTTTAAGAGGACAGATATTTCCATTGCAGTTTTGATGGTTCATTTTTCTTATTATTAACTTTCGAAATCACTCAAATTGAGTCAGCTCTTGAAGATTAAGTATTTGGCAATATTTTTTTTTCTATATATCTCGCATTCAAATTTAAGCATTGTTTATTTGATAATAACGTTTGCAGTGCATCTTTAAACTTAAAAAAATGGCTTCTTTGCATTCATCATCAACATCACGAATTGTATGGAAGTGGAAATCAAATACACAACCATGGTCAAATGTTGAGCCTGATACGTGGGAACAATATTCAGATATTGAAAATTACATGATCGAAAATGCATATAAAAAAAATGAAAGTCAAGTTCAATTGGATCATTTTTGGATTGATTTTAATAACCAAATCCAAATCAAGATAGATAATCCAAATAAAAAGAGACCCATTAAGCGCGAAATCATGCACAGGTCAAATAACGATATTAGAGAACAAAGATTTACAATGGAACAACCGAAACTCGATTACAAGTCACTCAATATGACAGATCCATTTCGTTCGTTTGTCCAGAATTCAGGGTGTCGCCTATTATCAGATGACAAAATAAATGATGAATGGATTGAAAAAGCTGCTCATGGCATTGAAACAGAAGGTACTAAATTGGGAAAAATGCTAGAAGCACAATGCATTGCAAATGAATTGAGAAATATGAAACATAGAAGTAAAAATGAAATCTTGGAATGCTGTGTTGGACTATATACAGCAGAAAGCTTTTTGTACAAATTGATTAACAAAGTCATGCGAGAAGCTGATATGTGTAAAGGAATGCTTTTACGTGTGGAAGATCGAGAATACGGTAAAACATTAGGTCCATATTGTGGTCTATTGGAGAAATATATTCACGATAGTCCGAAGCAACAAGATATTACTGTTTATCGATGTGCTACATTAACAAATGAAATGATTCATGATTATAAGGAAAATATTGGCAGGTTAGCTTGGTGGGATTCATTTTCAAGCACAACAAAAAATAAAAATAAAGCATTCGAATTCGGTGGTAATTGTTTATTTGTAATTTATATTCCTCGTGGATCAAATTTCTCAGGCGTAGACATTTCATCGTTATCGGAATATCCAGGTGAAGAAGAGATTTTACTACAACCAGCCATAAGGATGTCCATAAAAAAGGTTGAATACGATCTGAATATTAATAAACATATTATCAATTTAGAACTTTCTTCTTGCTGATACAATGCCGAAGAGATACAATCATGCTAAAAATCATATTATTTATTATAGTAACAGTATAAATTATTATTTTATGCAACAATTTTGTACTAACTTGCGGCAACAAATCCAGAAAAACGTTAAATAATATATGTACACGTGCTCAAATTGATTTTTGATATCTAGCAATTTAGTTATATTTATCTTTTCTTTTTTTACAATCTTTTATTATATATAAATTTGAATATCAACAATAGCAATAATAAAAATAATAGTGATCAAATGTACGTAGATTTATTTTTGATAAATTATACAATTATTTCGAAAAAAGAAAGAAGGGAGTATAAAGAATAGGTAACAGAATCGCCAGTTGTCATACTTTACTTTAGTTCTGTACTCGATTCATTGAACTTAAGCTGTGTCAAAATTTTTATTAAAGTATTTAAAACCTTCGAAGAACAATGAGATAGCAAATGGAGATGTATGCTTGATAAAAAGAAAACATCGTTGCAATAATTTTTTATACAGTGTATATAATAATTGATATGTTTATGGCACGTTTGTGATTCAATTATAATGTTTTGTGAATTTCTTTACCAAAAATGAATGCTAATGTCAAATAATTTCGATAGCTGCAGTGCATTCGTGTGCTGTTGGGCTTAAGGAAATTTTCAGTTTCAGCACTACTATTGTTTAATTAATAGTATAATTTAACAACAGTTACTTAATGAAGAGTGGCACTTGTGCTTGATTGTAATCTGATGTCTAGTGTTCATGCAGTTCATAAACAGTTTGCATTTGTCGCAATTCTTTGGTCTCAACGACTAATAGCGAGGTCTGTTGTAGAAATAGCACCTCTTCTCTTGGTGGTCGATTTGACCTTGCTCTCAGATATTTGCTTCATGAACGCTCAGGATATCATATATTTTGATTTGTTGATACACTGAGTTTATATGAATATAAGTCTGTAGATTTTGTGGTTCCACTCATATTCTGAACATTTGCCGTCTTGCTGGTCATTCTGCTCGTTGCTGATGCTAACAATACTCCTGTCACTGTAGTCATCTTTCTCTTCGATCTAGTGGCGTAACCAGAAATTGTTCGGTGAGCGGGCGCCGCCCTACCGTTTTCATAAGGTTACTCTAAGTGGTTAGGATATTTTTTTGTATTAAAAAATGCACTAGTTCATTCACCATAAAAATATCTGTTTTATAAATTATTCTTTATTTATTCAGTCAAAAATATTCAAAAGGTTACAAGACTTTATTTCAGCAAAATTCTACCATTTTTATGTAAATCAGCAAAATCATTCATGAGCTGTTCAAAATCAATTGCAAAATCACGCTCCACTGCCAAAACACATAAATCATTTAATCTTTTATCTGACATTGTGTTTCGTGTAGTTGTTTTTATTACTTTCATTTTGCTAAACGTACGTTCACACGTAGTAGATGAAATAGGTATAGTCATAGCAATGATAATAAGAGACATGATTGTTGGAAACGCCTGCTTGAGTGGTAATACTTGGTGATATAGGTCAACGATGTTTTCCAAATTTGTATCTTTCAACATAGATTTAAGAACTTCGATTTCATTGCATAATGAGCAAAAATCAGCTTTCATTTCCAATGCAAATGGTTTTAATGATTCACTTTCTAAAAACTTTTCGCTGTCAGGACAAAGTGCTGATATACTAATCAACATTTCTATGTTATGAATGGAAAAACGATCATTCAGCTCGATTAATACAGCGTCAATTATTGGATAAAAAAGGTTTGTTCGATAACTATCTTCATTGTTCAAATTATCGCGTTGACCGATAGCACTAGTAATAAAGACATCTTTAAATCTTGATGATACCTTTTTAATTCTTCTCTGTCTTGGTGCTGATGAAAGATCAATATGATGTTGTTGACAAAAATTTATAACATCTGTATATATAAGAGAAAATGCATGTTCATCACGAAGATCAGCTATTTTAGCAATAACCGATTTTATTAAAAATTGAGCGTGACAAAAATCAATGGTTTTAGCTATAAAAAAAAGTAAGAACAAAATAGTTTACAAAATTCTCAAACAACTGCTCTATATTGGTTCTAACCTTTAAGTTGATCTGAAAGTATTTTAATAATACCAAATATCTTGTGAATAATAAAAAGAGTAATAATAAATGTTGGTACTCGAAGTGCCATTAATAAACTACGTGCATCTACTGACCTTTCATCACCTTCACTTTCTAATTCTTCCAGAGAAATTATGAGAACTTTATAATTCTGAATTAATGCATGGATTGAGGACCATCTACTATCCCAACGTGTATCACACCAATGCTTTAGCGATGTAGAAATGTTATGTCCTATTAATAAAAAAAACGACATAAACGCATTTTGTTAAAGATAATTAATCATACCGATCATTAATTTTTGTTGAACGCTTTTAAAACATTCACTAGTCACACTAGATGAATGAAAGTAGCTATAAATTTTTGAGACAATAGAGTAGAACTCTGGCAAATATGGGACAACTTTAGACACATCACGAATTACAAGATTTAACTTATGCGCGAAGCAATGTATATAAATGGCTCTAGTCATATAATTTCGCCGTAGAATAGCTTGAACACCTGCGTGTCTCCCACTCATGACAGATGCTCTACAAAAAGAATGAAAAATAACGAAGAAGAAGAATTCAATAGAAAAATTATATTTTACCCATCGAAACACATCGCGATACAATTATTTATATCAATGTTAAAAAATGACAAGTATTTAATTATTTCAATACTCAAACTTTCAGCATCAAACTCGTTCAATTTCACTAATCCCAAAAGATATTCGTTGAACATTGAATTACGATCAATTTTATCATTATTTTTCGATGTTTCATGTGAAATACATCTTAAAACAATACTCAATTGTTCATGTCCACTACAGTCTTTTGCTTCGTCTGCCATAAGTGCAAAAACATGACCACCGATCTTTAAAAGATATTGAAAATATTAAGAGTCAAATACATTGAACTCGTATTTAAAAGAACTCACTTTTTCAGCTATTTGTTTTCGTATTTGGTTTGCCATTAGATTTATCAGTTCATTCTGAATTGAGGGAGACAGATATGAAGCATTATTAGCATTGTCAAGAAGAATTGCATTAACTAATGGATCAGTTGTAGCAGACCACTTTAATATTTCAATGAAGTTTCCACGATTATTAGACCTAATTAAAAGAAAATCAAATACTAAGAAAGTGAAATTCACGTTGATTAACCCACAAATCACTTTCATCATTACCACGCAATGAAATCAACTGACGTGCGCATAAAAGCACGGTTGATGCAATTTTTACAAGACGTTGACGGTTTTTTTAAATTAATTCAACACGTGATTTATCAATAACATTCATAATAGTTGTTTCAGTACTTGTTCGTAGAGCAAATTGTTGATAATTTGCACACGCAAATTTATGCGCTGCACTTGTTTCATGTCTGGAAAAACCATAGTTCTTTGCAATAGCGTTCTTCCAGTTGTTATAACCAGTTAAAAATGCGTCGCTTTGTTGCTAAAATTAACGATAAAAAATACATATTTTTAGAAATCACTAAACGAATAGATAAAAAGAAAACTAACTCATTTGAAAGCACAGTTTACATAGTAATAATATTTTACTTACTCGACTCAATAAGTTAAAACCTTCACTAAAATGGCGACAATAATAGCAAAAAACTGCATCCTGTTTTATTGAATACTCTAACCATGGAAAATTTGAATACCAAATCGAACGAAATGATCGACCATGTTTATTCGTTGGGTATGAAGATAATTTAGGTTGTGCTGGTAATTCTTTTGAAGAATGACTATGGTCCAATGGAATAGACGAATTTGCTCTACCTACTGAAGTTTTCGGTGATAGAGATAATGGTGACAAAGATAATGATGTTGAACGTTGTTCTGGAGAAGATATGGTTGATGAACATCTTGATGGTGAAATTGTAGACGAACATTCCGTTGGTGAAGATATTGATGATGTACGTGGTGGAGATGTAGATGCTGATGATACATATTGTGGAGGTGGTGACATTGATGATGTAAATTGTGGTACTGAAGAAATCGATGGTGAATAATGCGTTGGTGAAGATATTGATCTGATAGATAATGGTGGTGAACGTGAAGCTATTAATGACGATAGAGAAACCGCTGGTGAAGTTGATGATAATGATTTCGAAGTTGTGTCTGATGGGCAAGAAGTTGTTTCATCTGGTTGATGTGTTTGTGAAGGTTGATCAATATCCATAGCTGCAGAGTTGTTCAACTTTTTTTTTGAAAGACGACCGAAAAAACGATTGAATCGAACCGCGCTTGGGTTCTTTATCATCTGACGACATTTACTAGAAATAGAAATAGAAATATAATCTATTTTTATTGATCAAGAAATTTGCTGATGACTATTAATATTAATGCAGCTCAATTGTAATTGTAATGGTTAAATTAGATAATAAGGAAAAAGAAAGATCATTGGTGAAATAAAATGTACCAGTCACTATCACTACTGGTACAATAGAATAGATGTCTCTGTATCTCAAAGAAGATACATGCCTAATATGTATTCATTCGAACGATCAATCAGATGTACTTATAATTTTTTTTTAACTTTATAAAATTCTCGGTGAGTGGGCGGCGCCCGCTTTCGCCCCCCACCCACACCCCACACCCCCTTTTGTTGGAGAATGTTTTTCGAATTTAAATCGATTTTGAAGATAGTAGGCCACCTGATGAGATCCATTANCCCGGTGGCCCCCCCCCCCCCCCCCCCTTGGTTACGCCACTACTTCGACCCTCTCTTCTTCTGACTATAATATCCTGTTCTTGAACATGATTTCGAAATGGTTTTTGATTGGATATCATATTAGTAGAGAAAAACTCTAATAATATTGAATTATAGCAATGAGGGTGTGTATAAGCTACCACGACGCGTTTCGATCCGGCTTAATGGATCTCATCAGGTGGCCTACTATCTTCAAAATCGATTTAAATTCGAAAAACATTCTCCAACAAAAGGGGGTGTGGGGTGTGGGTGTGCTAGACGTTTTTTCGAAGATTTCAAGCTCCAACGACGCGTTTCGACTGTTGCTTAAGCAGTCATCATCAGGTAGGTTAGAAATCTTTACTACATGGATATAACTAAATCGAAAAAGTAACCAATTTATAAAACTGCTTAATATTGAATTAAATCTTTATGGGAGTTCAAAAGAGAACCAGCAACTAGTATTCAATTCAAAGAAGTTAAACAAATTAGATTACAACGATTAGCTATACATACTTCGTAGTATAATGAGATAAGGTGTGTTAGACGTTTTTTCGAAGATTTCAAGCTCCAACGACGCGTCTCTTCGGAACATTTCGATAAAACAAGAATTGCTATCCATGCTCATCAAAAAATGTTTTCCTTCGTACGATCTGTTTCAATGTGTCACTATAATATGAGTAGAAAATACACTTGTATGAATGTTTCATCTATTATAAACTCCTTTTCTATTACATATTCTTACTCCGGCCTGACACTTATGTAATATATCCGAAGATAGCTGTAAATAGAAAAGTAAAAACGTTTACATAGAATAGCATTCACGTATATTCGTTCACATCGTCTCTAATCATACTTAATAGTTTGATCAGAAAATAGGACTCGATGCTTTCTCCGGAGTTCTTCTATGATTCCAATATAGAGTACATAGCTCCCAGATTTTATTTTCATGAATATATTATCTTCGATGAACATTATAATAGATAACGATCACTGGATTTGATCTCTAATCAAATCTGTTCTATACTTAGTTGATACAGTTTGATCAGGTTCGAATAACTTCAAACTCCTTTTTCTTTACTACGACCATCACTTGATCGGCCCTTGGTCAGTGAATTATCATACAGATTGAAAATGTGCAAACGTTTTTGAATCGACCATAATCTATATATAACGGATAAGTATCTATTCACATTTAAGACGCCCAGTTGTATCCAGTTCTGCTCTATTTTACATGACATTGCTGATTCTTACCCTTATGAGACACATTCCATTCAAATTCCCTCTGGTTTTCAATAGGAATAGAGTATGTAAATGTATCTATTCTATTGTAATTAAGAATGCTTTTCTATGACACACACAAGAATGCTCAGGCCTGAGACTATGATTTCATTGTGTGGACAAAGAAAAGTACAAGTGTCTAACAAAGAATATGATTTACATATGTATCTATTCTATATATTATGATCATTTTCAACGGACCAATTTGATGACCAATCTTTTCATTTGACATATACACTCAGTTTAAAACGAAAATCAAACTGTATTCATCATCACAAATTTTCACTAATGACGCGCCTAATTAGTTACTCATTTGTAATGATAAAAATTCGAAGATTTTCATTCATCATCATCATCATCGTGGAAGCTTGACGTTTGGCGCGTCGACGAACTATTTACATGTAATGATAAAAGTACAAGCGTTGAAGGCGAGTATGTTATAACCATGTTTAGTTATCAGTCACATCGTGTTTCAGGGCTGTTCCATGGGAAGTCCACCACAAAAAACACGAAGTATTTTCAAATCTTTTTTTCTAGCTGGGTTTGTAGATTTTTTTTACGCTGATCATTTTGGTGCAAAAATTTTAAAAAAGCATCGTTTTTTACGAAAACACCTGTAGGTTTTTCAGTATTTTCGACCTAGTGACATGATTTCAAAACTTAAAGAAGAAACAAAATATACGAAAATGTTTAGCTCAACTAGCTCTACAAACTGAGTATGTTTCAATTTTTCGAAACCCTCTTCCAGTGATGTAATTCAGGAAAGATGTTCAGAATCTAGGCCCCTTTTTCTCCAAATGGCTACATTCTACTGAAATTCCAAATATAGGATTTTGTAGAGCGAAGTGTGCTCTACAAGACTCTGTGTCTGGTTCCCCGTGTACTCTCAGAAAACTTGTGTAAATAACGCTGAAACTTTATGAGCTATGCTGGTCATGCTTAAAATGAGTTATTCGTGTGATCGTTTAGGAAACTTATGTTGAACGTCTGATGTTTTCAGTTAATTACTTTTTCTTATGAAAGAGAACCTTTTAAACAAAGTACATGGCAAGAACAAATACGTTTAATGACGATTGCACCACTTAATTGGGGACGTATTGGATTATCACATTGGTTCGGATCAACTCATCGAGTTGACGGTTGCATCTTATGTCACAGAACGTCAAAATCCATGGAAATTGATAAATTTTATTTACAAAAGGAACAGAAGACCGGAGAAAATCTCTTGTTATTACGGGAAGTTAGCACATTTCAAGACATAGCTGTACAGAACTTCGTAATAATCGAACGCAATGATGTAAGATATCCTGCTCAAGTTCTTGAAATCGATTTGGTGGAAGAAAATCTGCTGATCCAATCGTACAAGTCGCCGTTTCCAATTCAATCGCATTACACAACTTTAGTAAAATTCAGAAAAAATCTGAATATTCATTTACAAGACGTCATAGCATGTTTGTTAGTTGAACCGACTGTCGGTAGACGTGGACAACTGACACTATCAAGGGAACAATTTATATAAATTCAGAACTTTTCAATATAGTTTTAACATATCATGCAGACATGGTTCTATAACTATCGAATAGGTCTCATGTCTAACTGATTTCCGATTTCTTATACAGATTTGTAAAGAAATAAAAGTGAAGACGCCGCAAACAATTATTGTACGAGAGAAATGATCACTTCAGGCTCTTGCAATACGATATTTCATACGTTCAACATAAGTTTCCTAAACGATCACACGAATAACTCATTAAGTTACAGCGTTATTTACGCAAGTTTTCTGAGAGTAAACGGGGAACCAGACATAGAGCCTTGTAGAGCACACTTCGCTCTGCAAAACCCTATATTTGGAATTCCAGCAGAATGTAACCATTTTGAGGAAAAGGGGCCTAGATTCTGAACATCTTTCCTGAATTACATCACTGGAAAAGGGTTTCGAAAAATTGAAACATACTCAGTTTGTAGAGCTAGTTGAGCTAAACATTTTCGTATATTTTGTTTCTTCTTTAAGTTTTGAAATCATGTCACTAGGTCAAAAATACTGAAAAACCTACAGGTGTTTTCGTAAAAAACGATTTTTTTTAAATTTTTGCACCAAAATGATCAGCGTAAAAATCTCTACAAACCCAGCTTGAAAAAAAGATTTTAAAAATACTTTGTGTTTTTTGTGGTGGACTTCCCATGGAACAGCCTATTCATATTACAGAAAACATATACAAATAGTAGTACCGAGTCACTTTGAGATCAAAAAAAATCTTTTTGATAAATAAGTTCAGGAATATATGGTGTGTGAGAGAGAGAGAGAGGTAAAAAGGCGTTTCTTTCTTCCAAATATCAGACTTATCAGTGATATCTATAGTTATTTTCTTGAGAAAAAAAGAAGTTCAAAAGGTTTTCATATAATATATTGTAGAATGAGTAAAGAAACATTATTATAATATACTCAGTACTACGTTATTGTATTTCAGTAAAATGTATTTGTATTCAAGATTGAGGGTGCTGAGCTGGTTTATTAATAGGAACTTTCAACAATCGGAATGGACTCAAACGAATTCTGGTGTGGCTGAATCACCTTTAGTCGCCCCAGTTGCGCTGCCACTGCATAAAATGCTAAAAAATATCTGTCTCTCCCAAGCGAACAGAAGACTAGAAATTCCATTTAAATTAGTATTGTGAATTGAGAGAGAGCTGGTTTTTGAGGGTAGAATTGAACATAGGCGGTAAACCCATTTCAGTCTTGCAATCCTTATTTTTTAGAAAACGTATTTCCATACCTCAAAACTAATTGTAGAAAGAAAGCCTAAACAAAGCAGAAATAGAAAAAACTGTTCGCGCCCAACTTCAAAAGTTTTCTATTTTTTTGTGGATATGACGAATATTTGTATAATTTGAGCATCATTGTAACATGCGGTTTTTGTAGCTTTTAGCCGTTTCAACTGGGATCGTCAACTATAAACGCATTGGGGTATCGAATTCACAGACTATATATTGAACATATGACAGATAGTTTCAATTTTCTTTGTGCCAAAATTAACTTCTATATTAGTAAGCAAAAAACAAATGATGAGCTTATATGTTCGTTTGATATTGGCCACAATGAATATCTATGTGATCCATTCAATTAATTGATGATAGTTTTGAACGAACAGCAAGTACATCCATTGTATTATTTCGAAAAAGCTGTTAGCGCAATTGTTTTGGGACAAACAAAATGTGAAACCTGATGTATCTGTTATTACTAATGATAGAACCTCAGTAAGGAGATCGTTGATATATTTTCATGAGATTTTAGTAACGTACAATAACTGGTCCTTCATTAAATTGTTTGTCATAATATGTAATGTTTGCTCGAGTCCGTCTATCACGATTTGTGGGGGCGTTCAAATTTATACCCTTTACACTTCAATACTCCTGTCAGATCATGTTTCAAAAAGTTATATTTTTAGTATTCCAATTTGAGTTTGTCGAAATTATCATCACAGAACCAAAATACGTATGTAAATGTTATAGCAGTAATTTATATTTATTATAAATAATATCTGCATATTACCTTATACAAAAGGGTTCAAAAATTATTTTTCATAATTATATAAAGAAACCAAACTTTTCTTCTTATTCTAGAGTAGCATATAGTAGAATAATACACCGTATGTATTAATTAAAAAGTGCGTTCAAAAATTTCGATGTCATTCCATTTCCGCTGGTCCCTAATAGTTCAGCTAATTTTGGTATTTCTGTAACAAGGTTTTCATCATCGTGTTTTTATTCGACATTTGCTATATTATGTGTTACTATTGGCGCAACATGGATCAATTCATTAATGGTTTCATGTTTACAACCTATAGATCTTAATGTGAATAACTCAGAGTTGCCATGATCACTGAACGAGAAACACTTAAGATCAAAGCATGTGTTTCATATATACACTTTTCTAATGATAACCTAGTTTGATACAAATCTTTTTCTTCAGGTGATATTCCATTTAGAATATCTTCGATTTGGCCAATGTAATTATGATAGAAATATTCTGCTAAATCGTTTTATGTTTTATCAACAATTTTCTCTAATTGAAATGATAGTTTTTCACGTTGCTCATTATCAAGTGAATGAGCGTTTAGCTGCAATTTTGTAAGAAATCAACCGTGAAATATATTCTTAATATTTTGAATGAATTCTAATCGACTTTGTTTTTTTTGTTATTGTATGATAATCATTAGCTTTGGTAGATCTTGAATTGAAACGTTCATCATAATAATACTGATCCCAATTTTCAGTATTTTATACTTTAATATATTCATCAATATATATAACAGCTAAATTATTTGGTAATAATTCTTTTTTGTTTCGCTATCGCAAGACATGCATGCAGCAAAAAAACGAAATAATCTAGTTTTTTTTCTAAATCAATCAACTGTTTCAAATGTGTTTTTTGGTAATTTATATTTAATAAAAGCATTCAGCGCTTCTCTGCTTTTTTTCTAAACCCTGTTGCAGATCGCCAAAGCTATGGATTCTTTCATTTATAGCTTCACATTCTTCAGAATTTTCATCAAATAGCTCAATATGTGGACATACAGAAAAAAATGTGTTCAGAATTGAAACGTTTATCGATTGATTCACATTTGGTTTTCTCATAATGATCTTGATAAGTCATGAATGTTTGACACAAGTCCAGTTTGGTTATAATCCCAAAGGCACGTTGCATAGCTTCATAATGATGTGCTTGACCATGGCGATTGCATTTAGACCAACATCACGATGTTCCTTAATTGTTGAATCGAATCGAATTTAGGAACATCCAATAATTCATAGTTTTCATCTGTAAAAGAAAAAGTTGTATTGCAATCACGTCAAAAATGACGACTTCTACGTAGAGGCAACACATCAACTCATATAACTGAGAGAAGTACTTGAGTCTATTACCTGGAAGTTTATCAGTATAAATTACAATTTCTTTTATAATATTAATATAAAATTCGCCTTTTATATAATCATGCATTTGACTAACTTTTCTCTGTTTACTGACACTCACAATATGCACTGAAGAGTGTTCGCGAGAGTAGTGATTTTGAATATTTTTAAAATAAAACATTAATCACTAACTTGGCTCCGTATATCTATAGAGAAAATCTGACTTACCATTCAGATTCAGTATCAAATTTTCAGGTCCGAGGGATTATTTTACAAAACGGTTTTTTTGGACTATATAAATTTTAGTTAAGATTTCGCTTGCTAGATGTTCGACAAGAACGTATAAAAATGTTTAGTTTCCATAAAAGCAGTATATTGCTTAATTTCACTTGAATCACCAAGAATAAATAGGCAATTTATCATGAATAACGACTACATAGTTGTTGCTGGTTTTTTAATGATTATTTCATTACACATAGTTTTATTACCTTATACAAGCTCACCGTCGAGTCCTTGACATGTTTTATTATTATCAAATAGCTGGATTACCATTGTTTCTTTTTTATGCAAAAAGAAAAAGATTATATCAAAATAAAGGTGCGTTTTTAATCTTTCGTATTTATCTACTTTTAACTATAATCTCAAACGTATTTCTTTTTTCTTATTAAATCAAAAAATCGAATAGATTTTGTGAGACATATGGCGGTAATACGTACATTGAGCGTTGTCGATTATGTTCTTCTCGTTCTACTTCTTCTATCGTCGGCTGCCATTGGCATTTTATTTGGATTCTTTAAATCGAAGAAAAATTCAGCTAAAGAATTTCTATTGGGTATGAGTGAAAATTTATCTTTGAATATATATATATATATATATAGTAATCAAATTGCTGTTTCTCTGTCTATCTTACAGCTAATGGAAGCATGGGAGTAAGTAAAAATATGCAACTAAATACAATTCTTTCTGTTATTCTGTTTGAAGTTGTTTCCAACAGCACTCAGTATTATGGTATCTTTCCTTTCCGCCATTACTTTATTAGGTACACCAAGTGAAATCTACATGCATGGCACCATGTATGGTTATCAAAGTGAATGAAATATATAAAATTATATTGAATGATTATTAAAACCTATTTGATCTTAGCCATTTCATGGATAATCGCTTCCATAGTGGCAGCACTTGTATTTATGCCTAAATTTCGTGAAATGGGATTTACAAGCGTTTATGAAGTAAAATATCTGACGTTGGAAAATGTTTTCAATAATATATATGATAGTATTTAGATAAGCGTTTCGATCGAACTGTACGGTTATGTGTTTCATTCAGTTTCTCATTGATTATGGTGAGCATAGATGTATTCATACATATAGTCCTTTTTTAATTTTCCTTTTGCACTCAAGTTGATCTACATGGCTATTGTATTGTATGGACCAGCATTAGCATTAAGTCAAAGTAAAACTAAAATTCAACAAAAAGAATAATAATTGAATTTAATTTAGCTACTGGTTTAAATATTTGGATCGCTGTTGTTTCGATTGGTAGCATCTGTACATTCTATTCTTCTGTGGTAATGAACAAAACATGTTTATGTCTATCTAATATCTTTATTCAGGGTGGTATGAAAGCAGTCATATGGACAGATGTTTTACAATCAGTAGTCATATTAGTTGGTCTTCTTGCTGTTGTCATTCAAGGTTCGATTTAGTAAGAATTCATATGTTGTAAGTAGTCCTTTTAATATAAATTCAGGATTGATTACACTCGGTGGTTTTAAACGAGTATGGTTCATTGCATCACAAGGTGGTAGAATTGAATTTGACAAGTATGTAATAAGTCTGAATGGTACACAATCTCAATGAGAGAAGCGGAGAAAAAGAAGATTCAATTTGATTCCCTGAGTTGATAATAGAATTAAAATAACTTGAGATTTCATTGTTTTTTCAGCATCAGTTTTGATCCTCGTACTCGTCATACAATCTGGTCGGTGCTAATCGGCGGCTCCATGAATACACTTGCTACATATGGATTTAATCAAGCACAAATTCAACGTTATATGTCTATTCGTTCTACATCTGCTGCTAAAAACGCTTTATTTATTAATGCAGTTGGTTCTGGACTTCTTATCGCTTTATCGAGTTTTATCGGAGTTATCATATATGCATATTATGCCGACTGTGATCCATACACTGATAAAAAAATTAAAGATATCGATCAAATTCTTCCATATTTTGTTATGGATGTATTAGGTGACAAGAAGGGTTTACCGGGTATATTTCTTGCTTGCATTTTTTCCGGTTCACTATCGACAATTTCATCCGGATTGAATAGCCTAGCAGCAGTAATAGTCGAAGATGTCTATAAAAGATTACTCGGTCGACATATGACTGATCAACGGCAAGGCTTCATATCGAAAATCATATCTGTCATACTCGGAATTGTTATTATGTTACTTACCTACGTAGTCAGTTATTTTGATTCGATTCTTAATGCTACTTTATCTATATTCGGTGTTTTAGAAGGTCCCATTATGGGTATCTTTGTTTTGGGTTTCTTTTTTCCACGAGTAAATCGACGAGGTGGACTTATCGGATTTGCTGTAAGTCTGGCTTTTCTACTATGGATATTCTTGGGTGCTCAGATAACAAAAAAACAGATGAAAAATGTCAGTTTATCATTGTCAATAGATAATTGTTCTGATGCAATAAATAAGACATTAACCAATTGGACAACAACGATATTCACTTCTTTGAAGTAAGATCATTTGAAGAATAGTTTTTTGATTATTCTAAGGAAAAAAGGAAAAACCTTTGAGACAGATGACAAAGGAACAATGCGCAGTTCGCTTTTCTTCTTAATTACTTCAAAACCTAATATCAACGAAACAAAAAGCGCTCTTTTTTTTATCTAGACGCGATCCTCTAATTGACTTGTATTCAGTGAGTTACATGTGGTACACACCGATTGCAGTCGGTACTGTAATAATTGTTGGTAATATTGTTTCCTATTTGACTCATCCACTTTCTCCACATGAGATTGATCCAAAATTGATTATATCAGTAAGAAATGTATGCTGCTGTTGTTTACCAAAACAATGGTGCCAATGGCTTCAATTTGGTATCGATTATGAAGCTTATCACAAGGAGCAGGTATATTTTCAAATTATCAATAAATAAAATTTAATATTATTATAGAATGAAAATTCGGATACACATCGTAATGACCACGTGAATTCCAGTCACGAGATACTCCAGTCAAATAAAATAGTACCTGCTCCAATCATAATCGATGGAGTAGCTAATGACAAGCAGTTTGCTAACTGATCATCTGAAATCTATTGCGCTGTATGAATATGACCTACACAATAAAAACAAAAACACTAATTGATCCACAGTAGTTTGAATAAAGTTTATACACAGAGAGGCATGTGAAATTCAGAAAGAAAAAGAAGAAAAGAATACAACCCTACCCTATTCGAACATCTTATAAGCAAGATCTTGAAATCTTGGGAACGATCAGCAAGACCTTGATAAAATCTTGACAAGATAATTTGTTTGTGACATCTTGATTATATCTGATAAATCCGTACCTAAGATATTGTCAAGATCATGGATAAGATATCGTTTGCTACTATCGCCCCACAAGATCTTAAGCAAAGCAGCGACATCACTAGTATTTAATTGCTGACTAGTCATTCACCGATTTTTATATGCATACAGAGTCATATATAAACAACGTGCTTGAACATGCAAAACATACATTTTCAACATAGTTATTTTTGTGTACTCAAAAAGTGAGTATACTCTAGAATCAGTCAGTGTGTCCGGCCGGCAGTCCGTTAACACGATAACTGGATAACGGAGAGTCAGATCGCAATGAAATTTTCTGCATAGTTTCATCTTAATAAGATATCAGTCGAGCTCGTAAATGAGCTTGATCTGAGGAGCTGTTGATGAGTTATAGCAAAAATATTATTTATTTTCTGTATGAATCCCTATAGAAAAATTGACCTATTCCCAGTTTCATAGACACATTTTCCTGTCATAGTGAAATGAAATCCCATTTATTATATACCATTTGATAGAGAATTTCACGAGCTACAAAATGGTGTATAAAGCATTAAAACTTGAACTCAATTTGTAGGGTAATACGATGCATCTTGTAAGAAAATATGAAGATTGTATAAAGGTTGGCGGAAGCAAATCGGGGTCGAGGAATCTGAATCTGAAGTCAGATTTAGCAAATTTTAAAGTTAATTTTTTTTTATCAAGGAAAAAATTTTTTAAGAAAACAACGATACGTTACAAAGGCCGGCGAAAGTGAATCGGGCTTGGTAAATCCGAATCTGAAGCCAGATTTTGAAAATTCTGAACAAAAATTGTTGAGTTAAGGCAATGTTTCTTCACTTTTTATTGCAAAAATATCTGAAATTTTCATCCTTGAGCGCACTAAGGAACTGCCCCTTAGGCCCTGCGGATGCCCTCTTTTTTGTCCCGTAGGACGTGGCGAGGAGTTAGTTCCAGAAGATTTATTCATCTGCATGAATTGCTTGGCATTAGCTGAATCATGTTTCGTTTCATAAACTTTCTTCTCATAAACTCATGTTAATTATGTCAAAGTGTGGTACAAATTGTTGCGGATTATCTTGAAAAGGTAAAAGAGCATCATAATGACTACCATTGTAGTAAATACAAAGTCCTACTTTGTTCATATCGGATTTGTATCCTATATATTTTAGATGACCGCCTGCTATTCCTTTAATAAAGAGATCGACTAGTTCTTCTAGACTAATATACGATGAAATATAAAGTCTATTTTTGGGATCACTGTTAAACAGAATATATGAATAGATAGGATGGCACAGACCCAAAGAAAGCGCTTGAATTTGAACTTCTCCGCCCCATACTGTATTCATAGCGGTTATTTTCAACTGTTCCTCAAATGAATATTGCAATACTGTACAAAGTGCTCGGAAATAATCGCTATTATTGATCATTCCATTAACTGCCAACAATCTCATCGAATGTGTTTGTTTTTCAGATCCAATACTTACTATGGAAAGAGAGTTATATAAACAATTGCCATCTGAAGTCGTAAAAGTTCTAGCATAAACAGAATCAAACGCTTGAACAGAATACTCTGTTTTCGACTTTAATCGAACGGACTGGTCTTTGTTATTTAAAGTTATAAATGGTGATTTTTCAATTACATCATCGATTATCTGAGCTTGGCTTGAAATTTGGTTAGTTTCTGCAGTATTATTAAAATCTAACACAAGAATAAAGTGATCAAGAATGTTCCTTGACCTTAAATCAAGGATTTCATAGTTTTCAGAACAAGGTTCTTCTTCAATTTCCATCATATTAGATGGTTCATTAACGTTGAGATCTTCTAAATGACAAGACATATCTAAGTTAATTTGTTCATTTTTATCGACTGTTCCATGCGGTGCAAAAACGAATTTCTCATCTACTTCCATCGTGTCAGATTGATCATCATTTATAATATCTTTGCTATTAAACGGCACATTTGTATGGATGTTTTCGGTTTCATCAAAATGAAGCTTTGTCACAGCTTGATGCTTTCTGATCCAGATTGGTTTATGAAAACTTGTAAGGCTTTCAAAATAATCAGATTTTAAGTCTTTCACATTAGTGAAGCAATAGTCAATCTGCGTTTTTGCATTAGTTGCATCTCTATTTAGTATATTATTCAAACTTAGTCCGAATGATTCCATATATTCAGTAAATCTATTATTGATTTTGATCTTCAAATTTATATTAAAATCTCCAACGACAATTATATTTTCACGAAATCCTTTTGAAACAGTTATAACTTCATCAATATGTCGTTTTAAGACATCAAATGAAGAATTCGGTAAATTGTAAACGGAAATTGTGCACATATCATCGATTTTTATTGAAGAATATTCAATATGGTTTTTGTCTGAATATTCACATCTTTGGGTGACATTTTCGTACTTCAAATCATTTTTTAAATAAATGATTTGACCAAATGGCTTTCGTATATCAACACAATCACGTCTGTAAAGTATCTTAAAACCTTCAATCTCCAGGCTGTCAGTTGTTTTTGTCCATGTTTCAACAAGACTTATCATGGAACAAGACAAAAATGTTTTGTGAAATTTAATATCTGAAATATGTTTATTCAATGATTGTACATTGTGAAACATAATAGAAAATCTTTCTTCTTGAGATTCTTCAGAAAATTCAAGTGAAAATTTCAGCATTCGCTCAGATCTCATGTTTTTTAACATCATCGCTACTGCATCATTAGGTTCAGGTGGTTTTGGCGGAACGAAACCGCCAATTAGATATAAACCACTTGCTTTTGTTGCACGACTACAAGCGACGTATAATTCAGATCGTGTCATCCCTTTCTTTAGATTGGCAACAACTTTTTCATAAGTACCACCTTGACTTTTGTATATGGTCATGGCTTCGCAAGGAACTAGAGGAAACTGTTTACGTTCTACTTTGAAATTAGTTGATCTTGTATTTATTTGTCTTGTTACTGGTTCAATTGGTGTGAGACTGAGATCGATATCTCTATTTCGCATTACATTGTGAAAGTTAGCTCTAGCTTTTCTTCCAGTCTTCTCTTCATTAAATTTAATCCATAATCTACATGGTACACTGTAAAAAAAAAGGTGTTTCACAGAAATTAAAAAGGCTCTTTACCAAACCTAAAAAGGTTCTTAACCTGGATACATTCTAAGAACCTTTTTTGGTTTCGTAGAAAATTAGGTACAGTGCAAAACCATTTATGAGTTAATACAATTATAGGTTTTGTAGCGGAATTTTTCTACTAAACCATTCATTGATCGCTCTACACTGAAAAAAATTTGTGTAAAATAATACATCATGTGAAAGAGTTTATTATTCTACACAAATTTTTTTCAGTGTAAAGCGATCAACGAATGGTTTAGTATCCAAAAATAAAAAATAGGCTATCATTTAATACAATAAAACTTACTTTAAATCGTATAGCATGGTGACCATGAATTTGCAGATCTAAGAGAAAATAAATTAGAGAAGGTATTTTCATTTAAAAGGATGAAACTTTCTTTAAGTCGTACGTTTGGTTACATGAATGTATAAATCTAAAAGAAAATAAGTTAACTAATGTAGTTTCATGTAATAAACTGAAACCTACCTCAAATCGTATACTGCGAGAACGATGAATGTATGCGTCTAAAAGAAAAATAAATAAAAGAATGTATTTTAAACTAAAGAACTGAAAATTACTTTGAATCGTAAACTGTAATTACGATCAAGGTACGAATCTAAAAGAAAATAAATTAAGTAATGATTTTATTTAAAAAAATGAAAGTTACTTTAAGTGAAATACTGCGAAAACGAGTAATGTATAAGTCTAGAAGGACATAAGTTTAATTATATATTTTCATTTAAAAAACTGAAACTTACTTTAAATCATATACCCTTTACTGTGATTACCATGAATGTATAAATCTAAAAGGAAATAAATGAAACAATGTATTCTGATCTAGGAAAAGGAAACTTACTTTAAATCGTATACTGCGAGATCGCTGAATGTATAAGTCTAAAGGGAAATGAGTTTATTTATGTATTTTTTATTTAATAAGGTGAAACTTACTTTTCATCATGAAGTGTGATTACCATCAGGCTTAATCTAAAAGGAAATAAAGCAAATTATATATTATCAATGAATAGTGTGAAACTAACTTTAAATCCTACGTTACGGTACTATAACTGTATAAAGCTGAAAGAAAATAAATCAAATAATTTATTTTTATTTAACATAGTGAACTTACTTGACATTCTGATCTCAATAAATACCGAAGTCCAAAATAAATAATTTCATCGTTATTAAATTAAGTAAAACGCATTCTAGGCCATGGTGGTTTTCAAGAAATATTATTGTTGAACAAAACTAGGAAAGAAAATTATTTTCATTGAGTTAAGTTGAATTCACTTAAAATCATATATCTAAAAGAACTGATAAATCTAAAGTAGAACAAATAAGCAAGTGTATTTTATTCTAATAAAAAAATAATACTTGTTTTGAGTTTTATACCTTAATATATGTGTAAATCGAAGAGAAACCAATAAATTGATGTCATGTAATTGAATGAGAAATTTTTTCAATTATATTTCCGAACGTTCACCTAAATCAAAGTTCAGATAAATAGAAAAACTTTTTTTGAATTTTTAAAACAAACTATAAATTTTATTACTCTTTGGATGTATTGAATCTGAAGGACGAGAAATGAGTAAATTAGTTCTATTCAATACGCTGAAAAATTACTTTAAATCATAGATTTTAATGAATGTAGGAATCTAAAAGAAGATAAATATAGAATTTTTTTTTAATTCAAAGAATCCTACCTTGAATGATGTATCTCGGAGCATGTATAAATGTAAGACACGAAAAAATATTTTTTTAATAAGAATTGTCCAAAAAGTCATTTTTATAGAAAAGATGAATTTCTCCATAGTCTTTTAACTGAAATGAAAGTGTTTAGAGAAAAAGTATAAAATTACTACTAAAAGACATAGAAATCGAGAATACAGTAATGCATGTACACGGGGAGATACTGAAAACAAATGTAGTTCATGAAAGAATCTTGAGTCTATTCAAGCTCGATTTGCAAGAGCTCTTGCCGGAATCTGTGTTGTATTTGTTATATCAACAGATGAGGATGAAGATTGCGATTATTCACATTTTCGTTTAATATGTTAGCACTAGCAAAAGCTTGTCTAACTTGACGACATTTTAATTTTCCCTAATTCACTTCTTTTCTTTGGTTCATATGCGAGAGGTATAAGTATCTTGCTTGTTGCGTAATGATTTTATCTCTACGTGATTTGCGCTGATAACCGAGGATGAACTGATTAGGACTCACATATATCAAATATTCTTAATTATAAAAATAGCTAAAGCCAGTTCTGAGTCACTGATAATCAAGAAAAAAGTAAAATAAGTTTGAGCAGAAATAGAACTAAATATATTCTATTGTGCGATCTCAACGGAAAATATTAGAACCAAATAGAGTTATGCAACGTTTATAAGTGAATTGGGGTAATAACCCATTCTTTGACGATGTATTACTCTTTTTCCAAAAAATATGCTAAACACTTTGCTTTTTCGGTATGCGAAACTAATAGCGGTTTCGTAGAGAACGTGAAACTTTTTTAAATGTGCTAGTTAGTACACTGAAAGAAAAAGGTGCCGCACCGAACCTTTATGGTTTAGTAGTGTTTTATTATACTCTTAGAGGTACTTTATACATCTGCGAAACCTCTTGTAGGTTTAGTAGCATAAAAGGTTTCGTGTAATACTGTTATAAGGTTCTGAAATAAAAGAGGTTTCGTATCATACTTCTGTAAAAGTTAAAACAGAAAAGGTTTCGTATGAACCATTTTCGGGTTTCGTATTATACCATATTATAGTTGGAATATATAACGGTTTCACATGAAATTCTTTCATATTTCAGAGAATATCTCATTGCAGCATCTTTAACAACTCACTGTACGTAAGTGGCCTCCCTTAAATGGTGGATATGATTGCGTGCAATGGGGACCAATGATACTCTTGAACGATTCTTGATTATTGTAGACCGTTTTCTACCGAAATCAATAAAATTTTTTGTTATCCTCATAAGTTGTTGAATACATTTAGATATAATTATCTTGTTAAACTAAACTAACAATATTGGCAACGAGACCAGCTATCGTTCAAAATTTACTTTCACTGCTATAATTTGCTGGATTACTTTTCTACCAGGAAATGATTACATCTCCAAAATTTTGTTTTTTTGTTTAGATATTTATTGGTTTTCACTTTCACAATTCTTCTGAGTGATTATTCTAAGTTTAATTACATTTACAATATCTTAGAGGCAACAGAATAAACTACGGCATTTATAGTAAAAACTTGTCCGTATGCGTTTTTCTTTTGCATTGTATTTCATTTTTTTGTTTAGAAGTAATTGAAGTTCTACAGCATTTTGTCGTGTGATTTGGTATTTGAAATTTTATTATTTTTATTCGCATCGTGCTTTCCGAATACAATGGATCCTCGTAGCTGGAATTGCTCACAAGTAACACAATGGTTATTTACTTTTAATAAAAACAAGCAAGTTCTTGATATTTTCACTAGTAAGTGATATTGATATGTCATCACAAGATTATGTTTGCTCCCTATGTATTCAAGCTGGATCGTTCCCCACGTTTCGTAAATTATTTCAACATTTACAGTATGTTCATAATGGTCAGCCTAATTTTAAAATTCGATGTGAACTCGGTACTCTATGTGGAACGATATATTCAACGTTTAATGCTTATAAAACCCATATTTATAGAGAACATTTAAATCTTCTTGATGAGAATTTATGTAGGCAGCCAATTCAACTTGATACAGAAGCATGTGACAATATATCATCGTCAACATGTGGTGTTCCGTATTTAGATTTCGATATACAAATAAATGATGCAGAAGATGAATTTCAGGATGAGCAAACAGAACTAGACGATGATACTAGTATTTGTTGGTCACTTTTAAAAGAGGCCAGAATTCAACTATCAAAACAAACAATAGACTTAGATGCATTTGAAAGGTTTTATATAGAATTGCTGTTAAATTTAAGGGAAGGTTATTCTTTACCGCAAAATATAATTCAAGGAATTACATTTGGATTTCGATCATTAATTGAACTTATTCATGAATTACTAAAAAATCAAATAAAGAGTTCACTTATTCAGTACCAACGAGCAACTAAATCTCCATCGACCGAAAATGTTTTTGCATTAGATGATATAAATAAAGTTATTTTAAGTGTTATAGTAATTGTTCGGGAATGAAACGATCACTTTTTTCCTGCTCATTTTGATTTCATCGCTAATCTATGAATCAAAATGAATTTCTCGAATCTATTCCAAAAAACATGAAGTTTTTTATTCAAAACAAATCGTTCATCATGATTATCTTTATTATTTATATATAATTTGATATATAGCTTTTATTCATTTCAAAAATGAAAAGTAGATGAGATCACAACAAAATGAGATTCTAGAAATCACACCGCTATCTTGCCAAAAATACAAAAGCAAGAAATAATATTTCTAATATCATTTTAGAATTTGATTCTATATTGGATAATAATTCTACACGAATTAACTTATGTTTATTCAAAAGACATGTATGTAATGAATACTTTTGAGAAGAATATCATTTATGATTTTGTGTGAATCATTGCATAATACACGATTTATTTCACGGTGCACTCTCGCGAAGAGTCGTGCTCCTAATTTATCTAAGCGTATCTTGTTGATGAGAAAAAGGTTTTCAATGTGATATAGTCTGATTGCTTTGAACTACTGTTCCATTCAATCCTTATCTCTGTGTAGTCGATATTGTCAACAATGTATTTTTTTGAAACTTTGATGACAATATCTAATAAGAGTTAGAAATTTTTTTCATAAAATTTGATATATTTCCATCATGTAATCAATCCACATCCACTTAAACTTCTTTGTCTAAAGCAAGTTTTTATGATCAAATGAGAAACCATATTCGAAGTTGCTTATGTGATTTTCGAAAGATTTCATAGAGAGAATGATAAATGTTACCAAAAATGAATATAATTTTTTGAAATTATGTAAAAAGCATTTTTGTTATGATCCGGCGCAAGAAATAAAGTTAGATTATCCTAATCAAGTAGCATTTTATATACCAATACAATCAAGTATTCAACAACTGTTGAGTAAACCTGATGTATTAAATATGTTAATTAAAAACTATAATGAAACAGTCAATCGTAATGCTGTTGACACTGATCTTATGTATGATTATCGTCATGGATCACAAGCAGAAGAAAACATTATTTTACGAGATAAACCTGATTCATTATTGTTTCAATTGTACATCGACGAAATTGGATTAACTAACCCTATCGGAGCGAAGAAAGATACACAAAAAATCACCATGGTTTATTTTCAATTAGAAGATTTACCCAATACTGTAAAATCAATGTTAAAGTCCATCGGTCTTATAGCAATGTGCAATTCAAACTATCTATCCACGAAGTCAAATAAAAAAAAGTTCTTTGATCCAATTGTTCAAGATCTTAATATTTTACAGACTAGAGGACTTAGTATTCCAAATTCTGCTAGTCGACTAAATTTTGTATTTACAGTTCTTACCGGGGATCACTTAGCTTCCAACGATATAGGAGGTTTTCAAAAGTCCTTTAGTAATGGCTACTTTTGTAGACACTGTTATATGAATTATGATGAAAGATTCACCCCATTAAATGAAATTTCCCATGCTCTAAGAACAACAGATGAGCACGATAATTTAGTTAAAGAATTATTAACTTTGAATAATCATACTGTTTTACGTGGCGTGGTCGATGATAGTCCATTATCTAAATTGATTGGTTTTCATCCTGTTATATCGTTGCCAAACGATATCATGCATGATATAAATGAAGGTATGAAGTGAAGACTAGTTTTTCAAAATAAAATGCTATTTCTATTTCTATTTAGGGTTGTGTGGAAAAGTTCTATTAGCTATGTTAAGAGAAACCTCAACAAAGAGACTTTTGTCATATGGAGAAATTGAAGATCGTTTGATATCTTTTAAATATGGCTTCAACGACAAAGAAAATAAACCACCAATCTTAAGAAAAAAACATTTAGCTAAAGGAAAACTGATTGGAACAGCATCTCAAAAAATGTGCTTATTTACATTGTTTCCAATTATATTTTTTGATATAATCGAACAATTAGATACTCGTGAAGTCTATACATGCTTACGTGAAATAGTTAGTCTCTTATATGCTTGTCCTTTTCGAAAATCATGGCTGTCATATTTATATTCTTTAACTATTCGTTTTCAATGTTTAATGGTTCATTTATTACCTAATTTTTTAACTTCTAAAGTGCATTTGATTATCCATTACGCAAGTCAAATTGGCATGTTTGGACCGCCCGTTCGACATTGGTGTATGCGTTTTGAAGCAAAACATCAAGTTTTCAAACGCCTTGCTGTTAAATCTAACAACTACAAGAACATTCTTTATACATTATCAAAGCGTCATCAGTTACGCCAGTGTCTATTTTTTTCTTCGTCCAATTATTATGATATAAATAACGAAGGTTATTCGTCGCGAACCAAACAGTTTCTTATGTTGCCAGCTGATATTCGTAGATTACTACAAGAAAATATAAAAAATGTTGATCAACATACTCTATTTATGGAGTACGAACGATTACAATTTAATCATGTTATGTTCGTAAAAAACTCAGTGTTTGTGAACAATCTCATTCATGAAGAAGAAATACCCTCATTTTTTCACTTGATATTCATTTTTCAAGTTGATAATGTTTGGTTATTAGTAGTAGAAGAATTGAATACAGTAGCGTTCAATGAATCTCTTTGGTCTTATGAACTCGAACACACGCATTTATTATCAATTAAGAAGCCGGATGAACTTATTCGCATAGTTGCAAAAGGACTTGATATATATGAAGTGAATAGAAAATCATATGTTAATGTTCTTTCGCGTCTTACTAAAGAAAGAAACAAAATTTAATAAACATGCTGTATTGAAATAGAATTATTCTACAATGAAAAATATTGTTATTAACGTATAGGAATACAAATCAAAGAAATATATTTCTTTTTTCTTCTAGCTTATCTAATTTGAATGTTTTTTTTCCATTATTTAGAAGAAGATATCGATGGTGATACACTTTTTAATTTGCCACAATCGATGATGTATGAAATTATTAAACCAATGAAAGATCGTGTACGTTTTCTAACAGAACATCGTGCATTGTTTCATGGTACAAGTCAAAATAATAGTGATCAGCTCTTGTCAAACAACTACTTAGAGTATTCATCAGAAAATAGTTCAAAACAATTAATGGAACAACGTACTACTGATCAAGCTGCAACAGCGTCGGCAATTACACATTCAAATAATTATCAAGGTGATGCTTTTCAATCAACTTCTTTACCAAGTCCCGAAGTTATAAATGAAGAAACAATTAAATCACCAAAAGAATGTCAAGAAAACGACAACAATGAAGACAATGAAGAATCTATTTTTCCATATGTGTACACGTTACCAGATTTACCATTGAAAATTCAACAATTTATAGATAAAGGAGAAATAAGTCATTTCGGCGGTCATACAAATGCACGTCGACTATTACTTGATGTTATTTTTACAGATGTTACAACAAACTATTCTTTGCTGTGAGTAATCATGGTTATTCTGTAAGAAGAAATAATATCACTGTTTTCTCTATTTTAGTTATCCGAATTCGAATCAATATAGATCAATGGCAATTGCAACATTGAAATTGTTTAATATTCATAATGATACTCAAGCATTGGTAAATAAACTGTTGATAATAGTAACGAAAACAGACCTTGATTACGTAGAAAAATATAATTAGAGAGTATATACACTTACAGGACAAATAGAACTAGTAGATTTGAATTATTACCAAATGCTGAATGGACTTTTTTCTTTTCTCCATATGTAAGATATTATATTCATAGGTTAGTCATTAATTGATTAAGATAAAATTCTCAGAATGCTGAATACATGCAAGAAACAATTTCGTGATGGCTATCTACTTTTCTCGAAACTTTGTCAACAACGTGGAGTGCCAAGTTTACAGCGACGGCGCGAACAGGGGGGGGGGTTCCCCCAACTTTGGAAATTTTTGTTTTAATTTTTCTCCGATTTGAAGAAAATAGAAGAGATTTTTATTGATTTCCTCCGATTTTTGAAGAAAAACCCTCCGTTTTCAAGTAACCCCCCTATAATTTTATTACTTCGCGCCGTTCCTGCAAACTTAGAATGAGAGTCTAACGTTTTTTGACATTTTATCATTAGACTGAAGTTGATTATTTTTCTAGAACGATTGGATCGAATGTCTTAAATCTAAATTCAAAAGAGAGCGTCGTCCGCTTCAACAAACATCTGAACAAGTTCAACGAATGAAACTCAAGCATAGTAGCACCTATGGTCGCCCAATAAAAGGAAATGATAATATAGTTGCACCCCGTCGTGAAGTAAGCTTTCCTAAAACTTTTTATTTTAATATGAGTAAAGAATTTTTTTTTATTAAAGGTTCCTATTGATTTTTGGAATAAAATTGATCTTCATGATGATCCTGACGATTTAAATAAAAGTATTCAATTCATGAAGAACGAGTTATCACACGAAAAAGTAAATTTTGATGAAGTTAGAATCGCATGGAAGAAAACATTGGTAGTTCGTAGACAATTTATTCAAACTCATACAACAAAAGAAGTGTTACAAGAATATCCTGGTTATCATCATGTTGTATTAGTAAGCATATTTACATTATTTGATAAGATTTGAAGAATTGCTTAATCATTTAATAGATCTTACAGTGATTTTATTGAACTAAATAGTTAATTTTATTTTAAGATTTTCGACGAAATTCAATATCTATGCAATGTTGACATTGAATCAAATTTAGAAAATGCGTTGCAAAAATTACTTGTTATGGTTCCCGACAACGAAAGTTATGTAAATGGTAAGTATCTAGTTAGATTATGGAATGTTTTCAAATGTTTTATTTTTCGTCATGACTGTTTAGATCTTCCCACAGTACGATTGATCAAACTGTTAACTAAACATTTTCAAGATTCATGGCAATATTTATTACGCAATAAAGTAAGTGTTAAATTTTTATTAAAAACTAAGGTAATGTAAAAGACAACATTTTAATCTTATATGATGCATTTAACAATAATCTTTTGTGTTCATAAATATATCTTTTTTTCATCGTACAGGAACCAGCATGTCCTCGACCAACTATACAAATAACAGACGATAATTTTTATATATATTTGGATTTTGATATGATAACTCAAACAAAATCTATAAATCAAGCATTAAGTGTTGTCATTTCATTATATGTCATATTCGAATTACAATTTGGCACGCACAACCGAGTTATTCATTTGTTGTACGGAATATTGTTACAAGAGTCAAGCATTCTTTCGAAACAATTACGACTTGCATTAAAACAATGGAATTTTCATATTGATAAAAAAGAACGTACAGGAAATATTCAACTTGTTAAAACTATCTCAACAACTAATAATACACAAACAACTACTATAGGTGTTTTAAAAGAAATTGAAGGTGGTCATGGTAATCGATCATTTGATAACAGCTACCAAGAGAATTCTATCAGAAACATAGGTACGTAATATGTGATACATAAGAACTACTTTTAATTATGCATACTTATATTACATAGATGATACACAAAATTCAACAACAATCAGTACAAATCCAACTGCCTATATTAACATGGAAAAATGTACAACACAAACATCACGATCATCTAATTTATCATCACCTATTGATCCACCATTAATTATACAAATTGCAACACCAGAGAAGCCGGAAGAAGAATTTTTATCTGAACCAATTACAAGTGAACATACCAAACGCACGTTGAACAATGTCGAGTCAAACTCGTCAAAATCGAATCATTTATGTACAAACAATAAGAAAAAATCTAGTTCTATATCACGAAAACGTTCAGCCAGCCCAGAAAAGCCAATAGCACAACGATTAAAACGATCACGAAATAAGACAAAGACAATATGAATACTTTGTATTTTTAGTGATTATTTACGACATCTGCAAGATTTTTCTGACTGATAACATATATATATATAGCAGGTTTTGCTGCATTCAATTAGAAACTGTTTTAATAAAACATTTTCTAATACTTTTATTGATGCATATAACTATTTTTTAAAATTAAAATCACTGTTTCTTTTTTTTCTGCTTTAATAAAAAAGCTACATATTGCAGTATTTTACCATAAAAAGAATTTAGATAGTTTAACGAAAACAAACCCAATTATACAGAATCGTACTAAAGCCTTTCATAGAATTATTACGATCTCGTCGTATAAAAGCTCTCTTTCTAACTATTAAAAATATGTCTAGCACGTAGAAGTCAAAGAAATTCAAAATCACCACAGTCATAACAATAATTATAACGTTAATACTTGTTTAAACTTCGAGTTAATCACATTATTCCATTAGTTCCGAGTTCAAGAAATAGACGATCTCTAACACTAGTAATCAGACTCAGCTCATCAAATTGTCAAGTTCATCTATCAGTCTTCAGAATTTGATCTCGTCAAATCTTAAAAATAAATAATATTCAGTATATGACAACAACAATCTAAATAAACGATCAGTTTATTTCCATTTGCGTTTTGCGCCAAACGTTTTTTCTTTAGCATTGTTCAACTCAACAACATGCGGCATAACCTTATATTCAAAATGTATATTTTCATTTTTTCCGTTGGAGATATTTAGTTGAAATATTCATGTCAAATCAAATCAACGAGAAAAAAGTTCTTTTTCATTCAATTCATTGAAGCGAATATTATGTAAGTTACTCGTATCATTACAATACTCACTCTTATTTTTATGTTGCAGATTACTGAATAAAAATATTTTCCCTTACAATTCACACTACAAATGGTTTATCTAGCTTAAGCGGTTCGTCAGAACACAATATAAGGTAGTTTTATCAAAAAGATTCGCCTGTTTATTTTTCTATTGTAGATTATTAAATGAAGAAACATTTACCATTAAATCTAGCACTACAGATATTTCTTTTCGTTCAATTGCTTCAGCCAAATAAAATATAAGATGATTCTGTACTTGAAATTATTATTTCTATTTTTCTCTTTTAGATTATTTAATGAAAATATATAGCGCAATTGAGCCACACATTATATATGACTTTTTCTGTTCAAGTGGTGCAAGTCAACAAAATATCGGCTATTTTAATCATTACAATTATTGCTTCTATTTCTCTGTTCCAGATTAAAAAGTGTAAATATTTTTTCGATGAAATTTAACATTAGAAAGGTTTTTCTTTGTTCAAATGATTTGATTCAACATAAATAAGATAGTTTTATCTTTAGAATTAATCATTTTTATCTTTATGTTGTAGACTTAAATGAAAATAATATTTTTCCTTAAATTTAACACTACATGCAGTTTCTTTCGTTCAAATGGCCCAATTGAAGATAATTTACAGTAAATTTATCATTACAATAATCGTTTTTATTTTTTTATTCTAGATTAGTAAATGGAAAAATATTTTTTCAGGTAAATTCAACATTAGAAATGCTTCTTTTCCTTGAAGTGGTGCTGATAAACATAATGTAAGATAATTCTTTCATTACAATGATCATTTTTCTATTTCTTTCGTAGATTACCAAATGAAAATATGCATTTATCATGAAATTTAAGATTAGAAATGCTTTTTCTCGTTCAAGTGGATCGACTGAATAAAATATATAGTATTTTTCTCATTATAATTTCATTATAATAATCGTTTTTATTTTTATGTTATAGATTATCGAAAGAAAAAATATGCTTTCACTAAAACTCAACACTACAAACGGTTGTTTTGTTCAAATTGCTCAGCTGAACATAAAGTAAGGTATTTTCGTCTTCAAAATTATTATTTCCGTCTTCAGCTTCTAGATCATGAATGAGAAATATATGTCTTCAACTATATTTAATAATGCAAATATTTTTTTTTGTTCAAGTTGATCGAGCATAGATAATATTAAGTAGTTTTTAAATTACAATAATGGTTTATGTTTTTCTTTTCTAGATTGTCAAAAGAAAATATTTTTTCAATTATACTTAATATATCAGATCGTTATTTTTGTTGAAGTAGTAATGGCAAACATAGGATAAAGTAGTTTTTTTTCATTACAATAAAGGTTTTAATTTTTTTTCTAGATTTTCAAATGGAAAAATATATTTGTGCTTTAATCTAACATTACGAATGGTAGTTTTCCTTCAAATTGCTCAACTGAAGATAAAATAAAGTAGTTTTGCACGAAAAGTTATTATTTCTCGTTTTCTCTTCTAGATTATCAATGATAAATATGCTTTGAATTACATTTAGCATCGCAGATGTCTCTTTTCATTCATGTGGTATCCTCAAGAAAATATATGGTACTTTTATCTTCACAATGATCGATTTTATTTTTTCTGTTCTAGATTAGTATATCAAAATATATTCTTTTGTGGAATTTTTCACTACCAATTGTTATTTTTTTTCGTTCAAGTGGTGCAAGCGAACAAAACATAAGATAGTTTTATTATTATCATTATTATTTTTATTTTTGTTTTATAGATTATTAAACGAAAAAAACACTTTTCAGTGAAACAACATTACAATTGTTTTGTTTCATTCAAGTGGCTGCAGTGAACGTTTTATCGGGTAGTTTTGTTCTTAAAACTATTATTTTTATTTTTCTATTTTTCTCTTATAGATTAATAGGGACAAATATATATTTCAGTTGAATTTAGCATGACAAGTGGTTTCTTTTCGTTCAAGTGGTGCAGCTGAAGAAAATATGACGCACTTTTATTTTTGGAATTATCGATTTTACTTTTCTATTCTGGATTAGTAAATTAAAATATATATTTTCAATCCCATTTTACATGTCAAATTGTTCTTTTCGTTCGAGCGGATAGATTGAACGTGATATAAGGTAGTTTTTTTTGGTACTATCATCGTTTTTCTTTTTCTTTTGTAGATTATGAAAAGAAAATATATATATTCCGTCTAATGTAAAACATTAAATGATATTTTTGTTTCAACATGTTCGACTGAACATAGGGTAACGTAGCTTTGCTCGCAAAATTATTATTTCTATTGTTCTATTCTAGATCGTCAATGGAAAAGATAAGTTTCAATTATATTTTAGATTACGTTTTTTTCTCGCTCAGGTGGTACAAGTGAGCATGATAAGCAGTTATTTTTATTGATTTCATTATTGTTTCTTTTTTCTGTTGTAGATTATTCTAATGAAATGTTCATATCAATGTGGATGCGATAGTGAATATTCTTTATGGCTTTGGATAATCGGAGTTGACAAGGTGGTTACGGTATGGTTTTGATGGTACCTGAGCGGTGCGGTCGATGTGTTGCAATCATCGGTATTTGCGAATGTGCGTGGAATTAATGTAGTAAGTTTTTTGGGCCAGACATACTCAGTTAGAGACTGAGTCTCTTAAATTTTCTGTCGAATGCCAATCCCTTGAGCCTGCAGGAGTGGGCTGTACAGACCTCGCTTCGTTTGCACCCGACAGTGCTTCAGAGGCTCGAGTTGAATCGGAATCCATATATGTGGTGGTTCTAAAGGATTTGCGATGAGACTCGTGTAACGGTGGTCTCATAACTTGATAAAGTAACTGCTACGAAATAGGTTGTACGAAACCTCATCTACTAAACCCTTTTTTGGGGGTTTATTGCAATTGGTTCCGTACTGAACCAGTTTTGTACGAAACTTAAAAAGGTTTAGAATTCGTTTCAAAATTCGAAACCTTTTTAAGTTCGGTACGGTACCTTTTTTTTTTCAGTGAGGTTCCAATTGTTTTTCAAAATCTTTAGTGCACATAGGTGTAGTATAGAGATTGATGGCATTTCCCTTTAAAAAGTAGTCACATGTGATAATCCATATTTTCTCCTGCAACCAGAATGAAGTTCGAAATCGATCGATCATTAAAGTAAGATCTTCTGAATCACTTTCTTTTCGCAAAGCGTAAGAAAAGAAAAACTCAAAAGTTTTAAGACTTGGCAAAGTATTCTGAATTAAATATTCCCAATCTGAACCATTTGTAATTGAATCCAAATTCGATCTGTAGGAAATTAGTTTGAGTTTGACTAGCGATGGTGTTAACGAGAGAATTGATTCAAATTCGGTGATTGATAAAGAATTATTAAAAATCATCAATGACATCAATTTTGAGTAGCATGCAGAAGCAGAAGGTAATGAGTTCGACTGATTCGATTTATCGGTAATAAATTCTGTTGTAATGAATGTTCGTAGATATGGCAAACGCTGGAGAATAAGATTGTATTCCTTATACGAGCATGATTTTATAGTGAGAAATGTTATCGTACATAGATTTGGCCAAGATATTGTCGTAATATTGTGATATGATTCAGCTAAACACATTTTACGAAATTTTGGTTGAGTCATAACCTTTAAAATGAAAGGTAATTCTTTGTCAGGACAATTAGATGTTGAATGAATATTTAGTGAAACCAAGTTAGAAATGTTTAGATGTTGCAAAACTTGAGAATCATTCGCTTGATTACTCAGACCTAGTGTAATTGATTGAATTCGAGTTAATCGGCTTGTATCAAAGAATGAAAGGAAGATTTTAATTTTTTCCGATTTATAACACATATTAAGAAGGACTAGTGAAGTAATTTTTTCTGGTTGTATAAAACGAGAAATGATTTTCAAACGAGATTGCGAGATGGAATCAAAATTTAATTCGTATTGATCATAAAGATTGACAATTTGATAGAAACGTCTGCACACTTCCCGAACGGAAAAAATGATGGAGCATGCGTCAAGATTGTTCAATATGCGATGAATCAATTCGACGGGTAATGCCAGTAAAGACGCGTCGGTCATTATATAGTTCGTTCTGGAAATAAATAATGAAATAAATTGTCGATAGTTCTAATGAGTAGGGTGTGGAATGTATATCTGACTGTAAGTATTGTAAATGCAGAACAAGACAGCCTCAGTCACACCCCAACCATTCTTCTTTTCTTCTTATATGGCAAAGCTGTATCGCGCTTATTTGCTGTCGGCAGCGCAATACTGATGAATAAATGACCTTGGAATCTTTATTTAGCGACTTACTTTATGATTTATTTCATGCTCTGTATTATCGAAATGCTAAGTTCAATTCTCAATTATATATAGATATATCTAAACGTATTGTGCCGATAGTAAAATGTACAATGATGACCAGCTAAATTTTCAGCATACGATTCATTTAATTTAGAATCTTCTGATGGATGTAAGTGCAATTATTGCTACTATCTTCTGTTCAGCTCCTATCGATACTCAAATGTTTGTATGCACAAATTTATTTGACTTACAATTGAGTATATGTGCAAGTACCGTTGAAAATGTCTATAACTTCACAGCTGCAAATATCCCCACCAGTTATCGTGCGCTTATTCATGTGCACTTAAGAATATAAATTCTAAAGTCATATAAAGAAAAATGTGTCTTTTTCTGTATGATGTTGCTACTTTTTTAATGTTTTATTTGAGAATTTTATCTTGAGACTGAAAGTCGAAAGGGGAGCATAATATGGAAAGGATGAAAAAATCAATAAAAAGGAGCCAGTAACACACTAAAGGGTGGATGTGGGTGTGAGTCTACTCTTGAGCGATGCCCACATCCAGGATGATATAGATGCTATTCTATTACATATTATACTATTTTTATCAGCAAGTTAAAGAATTGTAAATATGTAGTTCATAAATTTCGTGATACAGACATACCCTATGTACACATCAATGGTCAACTCGATGTTTTGTCCGTTCAAGCAAAAAAGTCAAATAGTGTATATGTGACTCATGAGAATATTATTGAGATTTATAAATGGACATGTATGGAAAATGATGATAAGATTTATCACAGCTATCAATTATAGATTTCTATTGATAGAATATCTTCATCAATAACTTCCATCTAAGGGACATAATCTAGAAATATATTTATTTTCTTTTACACATTTGATTTAGAGATATAAACCAGAAAAAATTCTCTTCTTTAAAATGATATATCGTGTCTAAAGTTTAGACTCTAAACTTTCCTCGTATAGAATTAGAATACTAAGGAAATTTTTATAAAGTTTCATCACCAAACAGAGTTTTTTTAGATTTTGTAGGCAACTGAGTTGAACGCTATGGATAGCCTGATGTATTTAAAAGGTTTTGAACAATAGTGAAGTTATCTATCGAATAAGTAGAAAAGCTTGTTAGCGCAGCCTCTTTGGGGCTAAAATGTGGAACTCACATATATCCTTTAGGCTTACTAAAGTAATTCAAAATAGTTCATCAGAAAAATCTATCTTGATTTCTAAAACCTATAATTAGGTCATTGCCTATTTGCTTATGTCTGTAATGGAGTATTAATTGTTAGCTCATATATTTCACAATGCCAGATACTAATT